CAGGTATGTTTTGTGGCGTAACTCACATCCAAATAAAAGATCCCAAATTCCGTTATTTTTTTTTTTTTTTTTTTTTTTTTTTTTTTTTTTTTTGTTTGTTCTTTGACGTAATGCGACCTGGATCTGATCTTTTCATGACAGTCTGAACAACACAGGTTTTCAAATGCGACCCAGGCCACTTGGATATCCGACATGCATCCGATTCAAATGTGACCTAATGACCAGGTCGCACTCATCCGATCTGCACATAACTGATACTTGACAAATGTCACTATTCTGCATCCTGATGGGCACCAGCGGGAAGAAAAACAACAACAAAGGCGGACTGTAATGAGGATTAAGTTGTTAATATGCTAACTCCGGTCGGACAACAACTCCAAAATCGTAAGCTATGCTCCACCGTTAGCATCCATCTTTTCTTCCGCAAACATGGAGCAATTCTTTTTTTCTGGCGGTTGGCAAACACTGAGCATGTAACATTACTGCACACGAGGGACACTTTCAGGTCGTTTGCAGTTCACACTGGAGATCACATACAAATCGGATATATTTTGGAAGTGTGAACAACCACGCCAAAAAAATCTGATTTCACAAAAAATCAGAATTGGGTCATGTCAGGCTGCAGTGTGAACGTAGCCACAGACAAATGTTTACATAATTTTCTTTCAGAATTTGAAAGATTGAAGTGGGACGTATTCAGAAAATGTCACATTTTACTTCCATTTGGGTTTCTACTGCTTCTAAAACCAGACCAAGTGCTTAAATAATAAGAAATAATTAATAATAAGTTATAAGTAATAAGTTGATGTTTTTCAGTGTCTGGAAAATGAGCTGTTTCAAAAATCTCAGTAATGTAACATTACAAATCAGCAGGAACTGCTCCTTACCTAGCAACCCAGCCCGTTACCTAGCAACCTGACGGAAGTCCAGCACGTCACCTAGCAACCCAAACTGAGCTCTAGAATGTTTGGTCAGTTACTTTTACCGCTTTATGCGCCTATGGTAACATATTAAACGAAGAATTATAGGTTACTTTTAAAACTGTGATGTTATTATGTCAGGTAACTGTAACACAGTGGGAAAAGTAGTGGCTCTAGTGTAAAGCGTTTCTGTATCACTAAAAGAGCATGAAATAAATTCACTCCATTTACCGTTTGACTCCGTTCTGCTTCTTTTTTCTAAGGGTATTTGATTGGCGGGCATGTGATGCGTCTCTGTCATGGTCACGACGAGAGCTTGACGATCCCTGGAGCAGATAAGAGTGAAGAGGAGCAAAGGTTTGTAATAAACTGCTGAAGAGATTTAAATCTAGAACACACTTAGTTCATCTTGAGAGAATATGTTTGTTCTCCAAAGCTTTGAGAAAGGGGTTTTACGTATGAAGATGGGGTCTTTAGTTGTTGAATGGAAGTATATGAGCCTTGAAATTAAAAGGTTGGGTTTAAATGAGTTCTACAAATTGAAAATCACCTTAAATATACCAATATATTGTTTACAAAGTGGCTTAAGAGAAACAAAATCAGTGTTTTGTGTTGATCCCAGTAACATAAGTATTCAGAGATTAAAAGGTGTGTGACAGGAAGGCAACCTAAAAATCCTGACTCAATTACACCACCTCTATCAGGAGGAAATTACAGCAAGATACTGTCAGAAACTTGTAGAATAATACTCAATCTACCAACCTACCAAATACTCAATAAATGTATGGGTTTTCATTTATGAATTAAACAAAAAGTACAAAAATAAATGTATAAAGTGTAATTATTCTGGGATTCAGTAGATAAAAATATTTTGGCAATCCTACTTGACATACAACAGGAAATGTTTGATCCTTTTTTAATATTTAATTAAGCAATGTAATGGTGTATTTGAGCAGTGCATCTGACTTCCACTTTATCTAAACACAGAAAGTTAAAGATTGAGTCCAAAAATTCAGCAGCAAATATTTGTAAATAAAATAAATAAATGTATATTATCTATTTATATTATATCATGTTATATTATCTTTAATTTCTGTAAGTTTATACATAAAAAAAACTATTTGAAGCCCTCCGATGGCATAAACATATACACAGATATATAATATTAAGCAATATTGCTGCTTTAATTTTATTCCGTTTCTTTAACCCTTTCATGCATGAATTATGATCCTTTGTGTTAGGATTTTTTTTTTCTATCTTTTTTTCTTAAAGCATGAAAAAAGGTAGGAAAGAAATTTGTAAAAAAAAAAAACAAAAAAAAAACTTTTTTTTTCTTTTTAGGTGATCAATTGTAATTTTCTCCAAATACAAAGTTATTTAAAAATACATCAGTAGTATTGTTCTTTAGGGGTTATCTGATGTCACAATATGTTTTTTACCTGCAAGAGTCGTCTACAGTAGAAGGAGGGTCCGAGTTGGTTGGCATGCTTTTTTGTCTGTCAGCCATATTGGATTTAACAAAAATAATTTCTTGCATTTGCAGCTGATGGCCAGTAGTTGATAGTGTACTTCATGATGCATTAGTGTCCACTTCAGTGGTCTGTGTGCATTTATAACATAAAAATACACAAGAAGCACAAGAAAATGGTTTTTAGACAGCTGTCCACTGTATTGACCCCTATGTATGAAAGGGTTAAAAAAGTATTACATTTTGTGTGACTGGTGTTTTCTCTTCCACCTTTTCATTTGATATGATTTGAGTAATCAGAATTATGAAAACCCCTATTTGTTGTTGTTTTGACAGAATAGTGAACTACGAGGCGGGGAAGGGAGCGTCAAGAGCCCGCTCCCTGTGGAGACTGGAGCCTCTCAGGATCAGGTAAGACAAAACAAAATGGCCAAATGGACTGAGGATATGTCACACACACACTTTTTCAAGCTTGGTAAATTTCACTGCTCACCTCTCTTGCATGTGTCGAGCACTGTAGACTATATTTAAAACTCCCCTGCCTCTGTCCTTAGGTGTCACTGCCAATTAGCTGGCTAAGTCCTGCAGAATGTGAAGTCCTGTCTGACATTCCTGTTTTTTTTTTATGTTTTTGTCAAAGCATGATAGAAAACAGGATTGTTAAAATTAGACAGTGCTACCAGATAGCTTAAATTAACTGAGGGAAAGTCCTTTATAAAATAATTTTTTTATAACTATATTTCTAATGAATTTCTTGATTGACTTCTTGTCGTTTAAAAACAGAAGACTGCTCTTATTGATATTTCCTCATTATGTGGACAGTAAAGTTTATCTCTGAGAAAACTCAGATCTTTACTGTGACTTTCATACTTTTGGTATGAAAGTCACAGTAAACTGTTTCACCCTGTGATTGGGCTAATTGAGATTTGTTGCCTAAATAACTCAGCAAATATCACAACTGTTTGAATCATTATAAATTCCAAAAAAATAACTATATTGCGATATGCAGGATGGACATTCAAGTCAAATATGAACTTGTCTTAAAATTTTCTGCTTGTATCTGAAACTGCAAAAATTGAATGCTTGAACAGAGCGTAGGTTTGAAAACTTTCAAATGGCACATCATCATAAAAGCCCTTTTGAGAAAACTTAGAAATATTTACCAAACAAGTGTTGGTAACTTGAGATCATATGAAATAAAATGCAGTATTTACAATTGAAATTTGTCCCAAAAAAAAAGACATTTTGATTGGAAGAAATTCAGTACAGCTGAACAAAAACATGAATTAACTAATTTTATTATGTGACAATGTTTCAGAGCTTTTAACATCTGTTCTGTGTGTTTAGCTGGAGCGGCAGCCACATTCGATGGGGCCAGTCTTTCCGTCTGCGTCATCTCTCCACTGGTCGCTATCTGGCCTTGACTGAAGACCGTGGTTTGGTCCTGGAGGACAGAGAGAAGTGCCACACCAAAGCCACTGCTTTTTGCTTTAAGCCATCCAAGGTTACTCGTCTTCTCAGACTTTAACTAGACCTTGTTTTTACTCCATAAGCATGACTGTGTCAGGGAGCCTCTAATGAGATACTGTCACCACCATAATCTGACCTTTTCTCTGCTGCAGAACAAACTGCACTGTTGACAGATTAGAGCAAACATTCATGTTGTCCAGTTTTGATTCAGGCCTCTTTTCACAGAGAATGCGAGGAGAAATGTATCAATACATCGAGATTTATTTACCATCTAATTCAAATTTAACCACTGAAAGTGTATGACTTTGAAAAATGTGTGGAAAACAATTTAATTAGTGACACGATGTACAGGTTTACAGGTTGTGCTCTCGAGAGCTTTCCAAGTGTTGGATTATAGTACACAATGAATTAGTTTGGTTTTCCATCTTGTGCGACTATTTGTTTTATTATGCAAACAATCCCTGCTTGTTTTCCTTAGTAAAAACTCCCAGAAATGAGCTGCATGAGTCACCTTCAGAACCTTTTTATCTAAAGTCTTATAAAACTCCTGATAACAGAGAGTAATGAGTCTTCTGCCAATAACCACTCCTCCTAGAGTTATCACTCAGGACTCATACTTATGGTCTTTATTTACTCTATTTTTAGCTAATTCCTCCATCTTTTCTACTCCATCGGCTCCTTTATCAAGGAAGGTCAACTCCTCGTCGTGCTCAACATTGCATTAATATGTTCCTCCCAACTTGCTGTTGACATTAATCAATTGAATCACTCCATCTCTGTCTGACAAGTGGCCAAGCTAATGATCCCTGCCTGAGCCTCCATTGAAACTGATGTCCTGAACCTGTGATTATCATCTGATGCCAATTTTTCCTTGTGTTTGATGGACTTTCCAGCCATGTGAGTGGATTTGGCCTTTCTGCTTTGTTTTTTTTTTTGCTAATCTTCGTTTTCCTTCTCATTCTGAATAAACCAGGAAAAAGGCGATTCTGGCATGAAGAGGGATATTGACGGGATGGGAGTCCCCGAGATAAAGTACGGTGACTCCGTCTGTTTTGTCATGCACGTGGCCACTGGACTGTGGCTGTCCTACCTGGCACCTGATGCCAAATCGTCTCGTCTTGGTCCCCTGAAAAGAAGGGTAAATATTTTGTTTGCAGACGGTGGGAATAAATATTTCACTCATCTTTAGGTCTGCCTTTATTTAGAGAATTTATAAAGGTTTAACGCTATCTAGTACATTTTACTTAAATTGGGGATGTCCAAAGTGTGGCCCGAGGGCCATTTGCTGCCCTTTGGATAATTTTGTTTGGGCCCTTGGTCCACAATACAAGAATGGAGTGACTTTTCGATTAATTTGATATTTTTACACACAAAAATATTCTTCTTACTTTTATTCATTTAGCTACAAGGAAAAGTATTTCTTTTATTCATTGATTACACTTGACGTGTTGCCAAAGGTGATGAAAAAAAGGATAATAAACCCCAATAAAGTTTTTGAAAATAACACAGAAACACAATGCATTTACAGATTCCTTTTCTACGAAAAAATAAACTACTATGTTTTATTAGAATGTTGTCTATTTGGTATATTATCGAGGCAATAAAGACAAGAAATGTCTTAAGAAATAAATCTTTCCAGTTTTAATAAAAAAATAAATAAAAATGAAGCCCTCGAGTTCTCTCAACTTCAAAATATTTGGACACCACTGACTTAAATCCATTAATTTATATGTTTAAAGTGGATTCCAGGTGAATAAAGTATATAAACCAATAGTGGAAAGTAAGTGTGGATATCTGCAATCATTGAATTGAAATCTAAAATCTAGTCATCTGCTTCCACAAACATTTGTGGAAGATTTGGCAACACACTCATTGAAGACCAATGTTGTACCATGATGGTGTTACTGGTATTTTAACAGAGTGGAAGGGAAAAGAAATGACGGAATCTAAGGGTACATTCACACCAGCCCCGTTTAGTCCACTTTAACCAAACTCTAGTTCATTTGCTTAACATTATTCACAACAATTTGCTGAGTTGTGAATAAACATTAGAATTCGAATAAACATTCAAACTCTAATGTGGACCAAAGAAACGACCCCTGACCTAAAACCCTAAGTCTCGGTTTGGTTGAATTGAACTCGGGTGCGGTTTGAATGCATATGTGGATGCAAAACATGCTGGAGACTGCTCCAAAAGCAGGAAGTGGACTAAAGTGCAGGGGATTCTGGGTAGATAAAATGCAGTGCTAGTGGGATCCACTGCAAAAACACCATATTTTACCAAACAGTTTTACTCTTGTTTCTGGTGCAAATATCTTATTACACTTGAAATAAAACAAAACTAACTTTCAAGTATCTTTTCGGCAAGATATAGAGGCTTGTTTTATTTGAATAATTAGTGAAATAGTCTGCCAATGGAACAAGTATTTTTTGATCATTATGAAGGAATTATTTTCTTGAAATAAGCTTTTATAGCTTGCTGATAAGTAACTTTTAAGTTAGCTTTATCTTAATTCAAGCTTACTAAGATATTTGCACTACAAAACTAGATAAAAGTACTTGATAAGATTGTGTGCTTTTGCAGTGAAATGGCTCTGGAGAAATCCTACAACTGCTAAAATCTGACATAACTCCATTTTTGTTTGCATTTTGTGAAGAAGAAAGTTGCACTAACTTCTTCTTCAGAGGTTTTCATGTCATTTCCTTCGGTAGTTCTTGTTGCAGCGCCACCACAGGCGAATAGGGGAACAGATTTTTTAAAAGGTTTTGTTTGCCACAAGGTAAAATTGTCCTGGAAGGCTGAAAAGTCCAGGACAAAAGTGACATTTGCAGAATCAAATCACAGTCCATCAAACTTGTTTATACAGCTCTTATTACTATTAAAAACCAGGCTTCACTTTTACTCTGCTGGCAGCAGAAATTGTCTCATTAGGAGTGATGGGCACTTGAGCTGGGTCAGTAAATGAGTTTGGCTCTTGTCTGCTGCTCAAGGCTGAGTCTTCCTGCAGAGATGATACCTTGTGATGATGCAAGGCAGCGTCTGCAGGCTTGAGCGTTGGCCAAACGCCTGACAAGCTGAAGGTGATGGCCAGTTTACAACTGGCCATCTCTCCCTGTTTGATCCTTAAGCTGCTGGATTTCCACCGACTCAGAGATCTTTCATAGGTTTTTTGTGAATCTGATGTAATATTTCAGTCATTCCAATCAGAAAAATGTTTTTTTTTACATTATGCACGTTTTTCTGATCTAGGCCTGCCTTCACTCTGAGGGCCACATGGATGATGGTCTCATCCTGCAGCGCTGCCAGCATGAGGAGTCTCGGGCTGCTCGCATCATCCGAAACACCACATTCCTCTTCAAAAACTTCATAAAGTGGGTAAAAAACACTGCAGAGCCAACATGTGATTCCAAAGCGAATCAAATTAAAATTTAAAAGTCTGATTTTTGACTTTCAGGGCACTGGACAGCGCTGCAGCCGGAGAGACGAATGCGGTGGCCGCATATGTTGAAGAGGTGCTGCAGACGCTGAACGATCTGATTGAATATTTCAAGCAGCCCGACGTAGATCTAGAGCACGAGGAAAAACAGGCGAGGCTTCGCTCACTCATCAAACAACAAGACCTCTTCAAGGAGGAGGTAAGTCGGCTGAATCAGTCCGCAGAGACTGGGCTTTTGTTTTATTTGGTAAATAATGTTATGTGGGATTTAAAGAATCTGGCAGCATCTTCAGTTTTTGGAAAAATTCAAAGTAACCTCAGTTTGGAGAATCAGAGGAAAAATCTTGAGTTGACTTATCAAAATAGAAAAAAATAATGTAAATATGGAAATAATCTTAGCTAATACTTTATATTTGAGAGATTTTAAAGGGATGATTTTGGTAAATTACAGTTTTTAATTATCTTTAATTAAAAACTGTAATTTTTAATTATTTGATTCTTTTTTTAAAAACTGTAGTTTTTAATGAAGTCTGTTTAAGTCTGATTTATAACGTGGAGTCCATAAAGACTCCTGAGGTACAAAACCATAAATGTGGCCGTAATCATGGGTTTGACTAAAGCCATAACAATTTGTGATGATTTATGAATATCATCATTTATTGCTTTCAACAAAGGAAATGCAATTTACAAAACAATACTTAAGAATTTACTATTTTTCTAACAGTGAAGGCTTTTAAATCTTTTCGGTGCCAGAAACGATCATATCTTGATGAAAAGTTACTTATAAATCAATTTTTACTTATAAAACTGGATTTTATAAGTAAAAATTAAATAAAATATTTAATTTAAACATTAAATCTTATTTAAAAAATAATTGCAACAAAGCAAAAAAGATTAAAGTTAAAAACAGCATTATTGTGATAACCACAACAAAATAACATGTTTCAATGTCTTGACTAACAATAAACAAACTAACTCTTTTGTAATATCTTTGTCTGTTTACATGCCTGTCACGATAACAAATTAAATAAATTGTTCCAGAAGTTATTGCGATAATTTATAATATTGTTGTTTTGAGACCATTGTTAAGTGATATAATGGTAATTAAAAAATTAATAAGCTTTGAATTCTAATGAACATTTAACACTGGAACTAGAAGACATTTTAAATATCCAAAATAAATAAACAAAACAACAAATAAAATGAATTTTGAAGTCATTGTAAACAAAATTGTCCTTCAAAAAAAGGGCTGGTTGAGGCCAAAATACCAAAACTGAAAACTTTTATCTGCCAGTTTTTGGTAGAAAGAGAAAAAAAAAGAGATAAACGATAAATTATGCCAATGGAAATAATTGAGTTTGTTTTAATTTATCATGCAATTAATTGATTTATTGATTATTGTGACAGGCCTACGTGTTTATACTTGCATATTTCAATACAGTGCTTTATTTTGTCATTATTCATTCAACACTTTCCAGATTATATTCATTTTCTGCCAAATAAATGTTGAATTCTTGTAATAATTTACTTTCACTAGAAATATAAGCACTACTTTGTGTTCTTTTTTTTTTTAAATAAAATGTTTCTAATAAGACAAAATATAAGTTTATACTGAACTTAAAGCAAATTCCACATCTCATGATTAATAGCTATACATAATAATGCATGTATTTTCCGTCAGGGTATGCTGGCCCTGCTCTCCAAATGCATTGACCGGATGAACCTGTATGATAGTGCGGCCCACTTCGGAGAGATGGCCGGGGAGGAAGCTGGTGCAGCGTGGAAGGACATCCTCAACCTCCTCTATGAACTCCTGGGTGAGTGATGGATCACGGAAAATATCTCCTGTCAGCACCTGTTCAGTCAGAGTGGACATGAAGTATTTATCATCCCTCCCTGAATCCCTTTTTGCCCCTTTGGACTCCTCTTCTCTCATCTCTCTACAGTCCTTCATTTCATCCTTCGCTAGCATTCTTTTGAACATGTTTAAGGTTCACAGCTTTTTGCAGATTCATTTGTCTGAAAATAAATAACCTGTATGTCACGTGAACCTTACCGGGTCCTACATTTTCCACTGTTTTTATTTTTAAAGCTCAGAGGGTGTTTTGTTTTCCTGTCGCTGGCATTCTTCCAGGGTGGTCAGGCTCACCTTGACCACCCTTACATTCATCATTCCCTATCCTGGAGCCGCTCACGTGTGTGCACAGGTCTAGCCCACAAACACACAGCTAATCGTAAATTATTGCTGCCCCTTCGGTGGGGTTGCCTCTGAGGAGGCAGATTTTCATGATGGATTGTTTGTTCTGCCTTTCCTTTCAGTATAAAGGGGAAACGAGCTTAATAGTCCAAGTTATTTATTTAGTTTGTTCATAAGCATCAGTTTTATAATTTGACGTTAATCACGCATCCATAAGAGGTGGATGTTCCTCTAAAACGTGTCAAACTCAATTTGTGCTTGAAATCATTCAAATCTCTGGAGGATTTTGATTTCAAGTTATTTGTTTGATTCTTGGAACTTGACTCGGGTATCTAAAAAAACAAGAAGGAGTTACAAGTGTATCTTCCTTTTATTGACATTTTAATAAAAATTTTTTAAAAAGTATCTTAATATGTAGAAAAAATAATTAGTTATAAAATGTTTCTTATAATTGCTTACCAGATTTTTGCCACTGGCATTTTATCAGAGAAAAACATGAAGGAAAAATTAAATTGCCTGTAAAAATAAATTTAAATTTGGTGTGAATAATTTTGAGCTTAAATGTAAGTTGAGTGCATCCAAATTACAAGATTGTGTGGCAGTCCAAGCAATGATTAAACTGCTAATGAAATCACAATTTGGCATTGTTTTTTTTTTAAATTACCTTCATGTCATTTATTTTGACATAATTTACTCTTGGTCACCAGTGTGGCTCTGTTCATGTGTTCATGCTGAATTAGAGCTTTCTTGACACCCAGTGTTGGTCAAAATCAGTATTCAGAAAGTAGATTTGCTGGCATTTAGTCAACCTGGTGTCCCTGAAACAAAATGGAACAAGGCTTCTAAATGTCTTAACAGCAAAGAAAGTCCAAAAGAAATCCTAAATAATTATAGAGCTCAGAGCTTTTGGCTTCATGTTCACCCAACAGTTAAAAAAAAACAAAAACATTGTGTTGAGAGTCAAACTGTGTGTTTTGTTCAGCTGCACTGATTCGTGGAAACCGGACCAACTGCACCCAGTTCTCCCGAAACTTGGACTGGCTGGTCAGCAAACTGGAAAGAATGGAGTCATCATCAGGTATCACAAGTCTCTTTGTTTTTCTTCTAATTAATAAAACATGGAATGACGGATGATTTGTTTTAACTTTGTTTTGCAGGAATCCTAGAAGTCCTCCACTGCATCTTGGTGGAAAGTCCAGAAGCTCTGAACATCATTCAGAAAGGTCACATTAAATCCATAATTTCTCTTCTCTACAAGCATGGACGCAACCACAAGGTGGGCTGGGAAAATTGGTCTGGATTTTATCAGTAATCGCATTCATCATTGTCAAAAAATCATTCTGGATTTAAACAGAAACAAGATTTAATTAATTATAAGTCGTTAGATGATTTACTGAGTTAAAACAATGTGTTGCATGAATGAAAAAAGAAAATACTTCTTACTTTTGCCCTTTAGATTCTGGATGTGCTGTGCTCTCTGTGTGTGTGCAATGGGGTGGCAGTGAGAACCAATCAGAATCTGATCTGTGACAACCTGCTGCCAAAAAGGGACCTGCTGCTCCAGACCAGACTGGTCAACGATGTTCAAAGGTAACACGCTGAAAAGTTGTTTATTTCAATATACATATATAAATATATACACACACATTGCCTGTTTTGTGTCTAAAGATTTGTTTGTATGGATGTTTGCTAATGTTAGATCAAATTGACGTTTGAAAGAAAAGGTAGACTGTACAACACTTTTTTTTCCTTCCATCTGCTCCTTTTCATTCAAAACTTTTATTTCAACAAACTATTTTTGAAACTCTTTACGTACAACAAAAATTCTTGATTATTCCTTGAGAGACATATACAGTGTCAAAGTGTATTTTTATAGCACATTTCAGCAGCAAAGCAGTTCAAAGTGATTTACATCATAAAAAAAAATAAAAACATAAAAAACAATTGTGAAACTGGTAAACATTATATTTTGACAAATGTCATCATTAAAATCATCAATACACATCAAATATGTTGTTCAGTTATTATGGGCTACACGATATTAGAAAATCTCGCTGATGCAATAATAGTGGTAAATATTGTGAAGACATTATTAATGGGGATTTATGCATATTTTTCTTAATTCCTCTTTTTTGTATGTGCTTCCATCACTGTGACTTTTAATACTTTGTGGGTTGTGGTACCCGACTTACTTTACTTATTTACTTATCTAACTCTACTTACTTAATTCATTTACCTTACTTACTTGCCTTACTTTCATTACTTACTTTCCTAACATTACTTATGTACCTTACTTTACTTAGATACCTATTTATTTTATTAACTTAATTTGGGATTTTCCCTCAGGGTAATTGTATTACATTAGCATGTGAAAATTCATCTTCGTAACAATTGGAATATAGACAAACAATTATTTGCACTCCAAACATTAGCGATGCAAATAGTGGACACACTGACATTGTTACATCTTTCAACCCTAATATACAATCTAGTATTAATATACAGTCATGTATTAATATACAGTCTAGTATTAATATACAATCTAGTATTAATATACAGTCTAGTATTAATATACAGTCTAGTATTAATATACAGTCATGTATTAATATACAGTCATGTATTAATCTGCAGTCTTGCTTATCTTCTGCCTTTGACTCCAGCATGAGGCCCAACATCTTCCTGGGCATCGCTGAAGGTTCGGCTCAGTATAAGAAGTGGTACTACGAGTTGGTCATCGACCAGGTGGACCACTTTGTGACCGGAGAGCCGACCCACCTGAGAGTGGGCTGGGCCAACACCAAAGGCTACGCTCCGTATCCTGGCGGAGGAGAGGGCTGGGGTGGAAACGGCGTTGGGGATGACCTTTACTCCTACAGCTTTGATGGACTTCATCTGTGGTCAGGTGGGAAACTCAGTTAAACTGCCTGGGCTTTCTTTAATAACTCAGTTTTCCTACTGTTGATTAAGTCTGAATGAAGCCGGTTTGGTTGGCTGTGTGAAAAAGCAGCTAAACCTTAAAGTATTTCACATATTTGTAGTAAAAAATGCTTTTTTTCCTTCTTAAACTGTATTATGTTTTATGTTTAAACTGTATTATTATGAAAATTATATATGTATATTAGTTTTTTTTGTTGTTTTTTTTAACATAATTGAGTACACATTAAAGTTTACCAATGAAAAATAAAGGTAGAGAATTGCTAGAAAAAAAATCAGTATTATTATAAGTCAGTATGGGTCAAGATTCAGATTTCGTCTTGAAATTTTATTTTATTTTTATACTGTAGTTTCTCAAAACAAAAAAAATCAAAAGGAGTTTTAATTTGCAATCAAATTATATTGTTTTCCTCTTTATTTAGGAAAAATGCTCACAAATTTATTTGCTTTTTTTGTCAAAAATGTATTGGAGTATTCTGTAGACACCTATAAACTTTATCCAAATTCTCTCCCAGGTTTTAACAAAATAATTCTACAAAAACATGTAAAGGACATAAGTTTGATGATAGATCAAACTTAAATGATAACAAGTATTGGTAAAAGTGATGAATCAATTCCAGAATATGCAGCATTGCTCACTTCTACTGAAAATGTCGCGTTTAATCATCTCCCCTGAAGGACAAACTTAAGCTGTTGTAAACACACTGCCTGTCATTAAATGTCCTGCATCAAACGTGATGCAGATCCTGCCACTAAAAGTTCCAGCTGACTGAAAATCTGCTCCACATCTTCATGATTTTTTCACTTCCAAAGCCTCTAAAAGATCCATTACGTCTCCCCGCTCATCCATTTTATGTCACTCCTGTTAAAGCATTCATCAGACGTCTCTCCGCCCCTCTGCCCCGTCTCTTCTCCTCACTTATCATTCTGTCCTACATTTGCTGTGACTTTGCTGCTGTAACTGAGATCCGCTCTCGCCTCCCAGGTCGGATCCCCAGAGCCGTGGCCTCCATTAACCAGCACCTGCTGAACTCGGACGACGTGGTCAGTTGCTGCTTGGATCTGGGCGCTCCCAGCATGTCCTTCAGGATCAACGGGCAGCCGGTGCAGGGCATGTTTGAGGACTTTAACACAGACGGATTCTTCTTCCCCGTCGTCAGCTTCTCTGCTGGAGTGAAGTAAGACGGAATAACAAACTTTACAATAAAGGTTCCCCACAGAAAACTTGCTAAGCTTGGTGATTGGGGCGCTCGACAGTCATTCATCCAGTGGCCCGTTGTGTTTTTGAGTGCCAACTTTGCATGATTTTGTAAATTATGATAATTTAATGCAAAGTTGGCATTTTTAATGGACTTTTAGAGCAACATTGCATTAAGTGTCATTATTTACCCAAGGGAACTTCATGACAGCTGTCAAACATTCACAAAGACTTATTTATGTTCATGACAGGTGTTATGTCATGTTTTTGACAGTGTCATGTCAATCTTATGCACACCCCTTGAAATAAAGTGTTACCAAAAATGTTCAAAGTTGACACGAAATTTTAAAATATTACTTGATATTTATGTGTGATTGGAAGATTAATATGTGAACACCAACTATAAAGTCTTAAAAAATGCTAACATTAAAAAAAACAAAATAATTAAGGAGTGCTAAGCCTGGTAGGGGCACAAGTAAAGCCTGGTGGCCCGCCAGGCTTATAATACTCTCAGAGAAACCCTGACAGTCATTCCCAATGTTGGCTACATCACTTAATCATTCAAGGCGCCATGATGAATGACGGAGGTGAGGATAGGGAGTATTGGAAATGGTTTTCCAAAGTTGTTTTTGCCAGTTTATTCATGGTTTCTACTTGTTGGAGTCGAACTAATTTGTCTGTGAACTTAACACACCTGAATGGGGCTCACAGATGTAAAGATTTACAAAAGTTGGAAACAGCTAGCTTAGAAACCGACCAGTACCTCCTCCCTCCTGACGTGTTGATCTAATTACCAACTTTGCCTGAATTCACACCACATTATTTATGTCACTGTCATGAACAGCACTTCCCCTTAAACTGGAGCAGCATTAAAAACATACAAAAGTCAACATTATAATTCAATTCAGTTACTGTGTACGGTTTAATTAAATAAATTACACTTTTTTAAGGCAGAGGAATCCTGGAGAAGTCTATTTTACATGGGAATGTTTTTCAAGGATTAGTAAAAAGAACTAAAAAAAGCCCCAAAAAATACCTTTAAAATGCAATAAAAAAGGCTGCTTTCTAAATAATCTAAAATCTTCCTGAATATTTGTCATGTGCTGTAATAAACAGTTTGTGTGACTTTTGTTCTCAGAGCCCGTTTCCTGCTGGGTGGGCGCCACGGAGACTTTAAGTTCCTGCCGCCAGCCGGTTACTCTCCGTGCTACGAAGCGCTCCTGCCCAAGGAGAAGATGCATGTGGAGCCTGTGAAGGAGTACAAGCGGGACCATGACGGGGTCCGTGACCTGCTGGGAACCACCCAGTTCCTGTCCCAGGCCTCCTTTATTCCCACTCCGGTTGACACCAGCCAGGTGAGCCTACCCACTCTCTGGGCTGCATGTTGAATGTATATCAAAGCAATAATGAACATTATAAGCAACTTTAACTCTTTCATGCATAGTGATCACTACAGTGGACAGCTATCTCTGGATTGTTATGTTATAAATGCACACAGACCCCTGAAGTGGACACTAATGCATCATAAAATACACCATCAACTACTGGCCATCAGCTGCAAATGCAATAAATTATTTTTGTTAAATCCAACATGGCCGACAGACAGAAAAGCATGCCAACTGACCCGGTCCCTCCTTCTACTGCAGACGACTCTTGTGCTTTAAGAAAAAAAAGGGAAAAAAATCCTGACACAAAGGATCATAATTCATGCATGAAAGGGTTAAAGAGCGTCTAATTTTAGTTTTGTTTGTTAGTTTGTACAGTATAAATTCAGTTTTTAGGATATTTGAAAAGCTTATTCTCCTTTTGGAAGCTTAGTATTTCTGAGAATGAATGAAAGTCGCTTCATCTCTTGTATAAGATAAATAAACGCTTCCCTAATGACTTTCTTTAATGCATTCTATTTATTTTTTCCTCTTTCTCTGCAGATTGTTCTGCCGCCTCATCTGGAGAACATCCGCGACAAGTTGGCAGAAAACATCCACGAACTTTGGGGAATGAATAAGATCGAACTGGGCTGGACGTATGGCAAGGTAAACCTGCTGTGAAAAAGGAGATGCAGGTTGTTGAAACTCATGACTGATGATGCAGAGCTGCAGACAGTAACCTGAAAATGTTTCACCATGTCGTCTGAAAAATGATTTATTGCTCGCAGATGCAGAAACGTATTATGATCAGGGAGATAAATCAAGCAAAAGTTATTCGCTGCCATTTCCATGTTCCACTGTTTGTATAATGGTGTTCCTTTTTTGTGACACAAAGTGTGCTTCTTCTTTTTTTTCATGTTTAGTACCGTCAGACTATGACAAAATGTCCCACAATGCTGTAGGAGATTTTATGATGTTAAAGGAAATGTGTCCGTCTTGCAGCTCTACACATATTGATTATATACAGTTGAAACCAAACGTCTAAGAAGACACGTTCACCTTTTTCCCCCCTAAATGTCTGAAGTTAAATCAGATCAAGCCTCTCGTTTTAGGTCACTTAGAATTATAAAAATGATTTCCATTTGCTAATATAAAAATGGTCTGATTTAACTCTAAACAGTGATTAAAAAAAGTTGTTTGGTTTCATCTGTATATAAATTCCCAGCTGCTGTTTTCCAGTTGTCAGCTTTTGCTTTCATGTATTTTGGAAAACCATCTAGACTTTATGACGTCTCTTGAGTCCCACATTTTATCCAGTTATTAATGTCCTCCTTCATCGTGTAATTTATTACGGTCTAATTTTGTATGTCACAAAACATGAGCTAATAACAGCAGTGTGTACACTTCAGAGGTGCTTTAATGGGATATTAATTGGTCTCATTTGTCTGATCAAATGCCGTGAAATTTAATTTTGTTGTGAATTTGCACAATCTCGAACGTATTCACTGCAATTTGTTCTGTAGACTGTCAGTAATTTACACATCTTTAGAAAACAGGAAAAAAATTCTGGGTAATGCTGCTAGTTTTCCCTTAATAGTTTGGTTTATTTTAGTTGAAATTGTGTCAGGTTTCTATTGTTTTGGAAACTTTTGACTGTTCTTCAAAAGTATTTTGAAGGAAAAATACAGTAAACGCTTTAGGGCTTCAGCTAACATGCTCTAGGTAATACAAATGAGCTAAAACTGCATTAACGTGGATTACTTTGTTCACTATCCAAAGACATCTTCATCACTCTGGTCTCCTTCCATGATTTTACCATCAGTAACTCTCTCTCATCACTGCAGAAGCGCCATCAGAAGTCTGATCACACAGTTAGCCTCTTTTTTCTACTGTTGTAGTTATCACAGGATAATATTCCTCTGAGGCTGCTCCCACAGAGGCCATTCAGCCAATATTAATGAATCCCTTTTCTATTCCAAGAATGTAACATCCACAGTAATTAAGACTGGGATAAAAGGTTTAAAATAATCTCAAGGCCTACATTTAGGTCCAAACAGATGCCTGGGATAAAACATGTGCTGTAACAGTGAGCCCAGAGTGACGTTCCTATAATTCCAGGTCAGATTCCTCTTTGTGGATATTTGGCAAGCAGGAATGTGTTAAACTTCACATCTGTTTGCTTGGTTCGCACTGTGTATTGCTGTAATTCTGTAGCAGAGAGTATTATCAGTGAGAGTCTTGGTGAATGTCATGATGGCAGTAAATCTCTCTTAATCAGGTCTCCTGCAGACAGTAAAGGCGCTAATTAAAACATAATCCACTGCAACGCTTTAGTCTAAGCAACTCGTAAAGTTCAGAGACTTGAACTGAACTAAAAGCAGATAAATGGGACTTCTTCCTGGCTTTGAGTGCAGAGTCAGGCTTTTAAAATGTATTTCTGCAGCAGACAAGACGAGGGGGTAGTGAGATGAAACTTTGAACAGAGATGCCGGTCTCCTTTCTCCACAGGTTCGCGACGACAACAAGAGGCAGCACCCTTGTCTTGTGGATTTCAGCAAGCTGCCTGAAACTGAAAAGAACTACAACGTGCAGATGTCAAGCGAAACACTCAAGTAAGGCTGCGGGTGACCCTCAAAGTAGGAAAATTCATGGTTTTACATTTAGAGATCAGCAAGAGATCACAGTATTCATTTCTAATCAAAATGGGTACAGAATCAATCAGATTTTATTTTTTATTTTATTATCAGTAACAAGACTGTTTAAAGTGCTTTCCGTCATAAAAACAACACAAATCAACAATTGAAATATTAAATTTTTTCCAAAACCTGTCATTACATATCAAAATGTTGGTTAGTATTTCAAATAGTATGTTTCAAAAGCAACTCTAAACAGGTGGGGTTTTAGACTGAGTCCTAAGTTTCAAGTGTCCATTTGGATATTTTTATTTATTTTAATTGTACAAAGTTCTTTAAATGTCCTGTGAGTAAATATATTTGCCCATTTATCGACAACTGAGACTTTAAATATTCAGCAGTTATTTTCGCTCTATTAAGAGTGTTTCATCAAATTAAACCAAAGGAAAACATGCTTCCTGCTTCAGCGGGAGTGAAATTACCGTAATAACCCAATATCGGCTGGAAAGCTCAACGTCTCTCCTTTCCGAAACCGTTGGGATTTTTCAGACGGCACAAAGTGTCACAGAGTTACAGTACTGGAAATTTGGCTGTGCCGTCGCCACTTCGTTTGGTCTAGAAAGGTTAAAGGAACTCGGTGTTTCGGCTGTTTTACAGTTTGTGGTCCATAGAAGCTGAATGCTGCTTCTCCCCGTTTGGTTCTGGTTCTGGGGATGCTAGTCAGAACCAGAAGGCCTGTGGAGACTGGAAGGTTGCTATGACAACAGCAAATCTCTAATGTTTAATGATTTATAAACTATCAACAGTATTTTAAAGTCTATTTTCTGAGCTACAGGGACCCAGTGAAGGACTTTTTAACTGGCTGATGTTCTCTAACTTCCTGGTTTTAGTCAGAACATCAGCAGCAGCGTTTTGGTCTGATAGATGTTTTAGGCTGACCTGAGAAGATGCTGTTGCAGCAATGCAGCAATCAATGCGACTAAAGATAAACACATGGATGAATTTCTCTAGATCGCGCTGAGACATTAGTCCTTTAATCCTGGAGATGTTCTTCAGGTGACAGAAGCCCGACTTTGTAACCGTCTTCATGTGGCTCTGACGGTTCAGATCTGACTCCATCACTACTCCCAGATTTCAAGCCTGTTCGCTGGTTTTTAGTTGTAGTAACTGAAACTGTACGTCGACTCTGGATCACTCCTCTTTAGGTCCAAAGATATTAACTTCAGTTTTGTTTTCTCAATCCTTGAGGAAAGTCGGATTGCTCACTCCTTCCCTTATTGCCACAATTAGTAACTATATATTTATTTGACATGTTCCTTTTTGCTTGCAAGATTTTTAGATTGTACGCCACTAGAAAAGGGTTATATGTTTTATGCCGTTAAATAATCCAGTTATCCATTCCTAGCAGCAGCAGTTTTCTGCATAATGCTTAGCAGCACAATATTAAGAATAAGATTAAAGCAGCACTTGTAATGACATTCGTCTTCTGGTGCAGCTCCAGCATTGATTTCTAGGAGATATTGGCTCCAGAGGCTTTTCAAGTTGAGTACTGAGTCGTGTTACTGTAAAAACATTTGGCTCACCTCATTAGAGGAACTTCCTGTAAAAAAGAGGAGTTTAATCAGACAGTCAAAGCTGAATGAAGTTTAGTGGTATTGTATTGATTAGGACTGTCATTGTTCTTGTTTACCGCAGGACGCTGTTGGCACTTGGCTGCCATGTTGCCCAGGTTAATGTTCACGCTGAAGAGGACCTGAAGAAAATCAAATTACCAAAAGAGTATGGTCTACATTTTCCATCTTTTTTGGCTTATTTGTACGAATTTCCACATTTTATAATTCTACCTTGATAAATCTTCCAGCTACATGATGTCTAATGGATACAAGCCTGCGCCACTGGAACTCTCTGACATGAAACTGACTCCAGGTCAAGAGGTTCTGGTTGATAAACTGGCCGAAAATGCACACAACGTTTGGGCCAAAGACAGAATCAAACAAGGATGGACCTATGGCATCCAGCAGGTAAATGAAACCTTTCTAAGGTTCTGTTCAGACAGACTAAGATTAGGCCTGTCGCGATAAACGATAAATCAATTAATAGCACGATAAATGAAACCTATCGACCTCATTTTAATCTCTGAGTTTCTTCCTGCCGTTTTTTTTTTCTGTTGATGACACTGAATAAAAAAAGGCTCAACTCCAGTGCTCTGCACTGACCCTTCCTTCCTATTTCCTTAGCGTAATGTCCAGCTCACACTACATGAGTTGTTGGCCCATTTTCAAAACCTGAGAGACACATTAGCCACAGAAATTCTAGGTATAACGGTTCGATCGGGTTCGTCATACCGTGTGGTGTCCAGCCACCTGGGCACAAAATAATGGCTACAAGTCCAGTTAACTAATTTTAAAATCAGGTATTAATCAATGCTTTACTAGAATCTACCTGTGACGCATGTGGCTAGAGTCAGCGTAAAGTTCTGACTGAATGAAAATCATTATAACCTATGTATGTCACATTAACGAAGAACAGCTGAAAACTTACCAGGTTTATCAACTGCGGTAGCAATTTGGCTCCAACTCCTCCCCTGGTCATTTCTATATTCTTTGCACGAAATGTTGAACATTATTGTTGTTTCCACATATCATCTCTGATGTCTGCTGGACTTCAGGTTGTGTCAGCTTTTTGGGATTCCCCTCCATAATTTCCCCTCAGAAAGCACCGAGAAGAATCCGTGCTTTCTGATTAGCTGCCTGTCACATTCAGCATTAAGCTCCCACTCGGGGAAAACCCCTGATTTAGATCGGAGCGGCTAAGACGATCTACATCACACTGCAGGATGATCGGTTATGAAATCACCAGCGACAATCTTAGATCGACCAACGTTCTAAGATTGTCCTAAGGGGAAAAAGGGGCAAAAAAACCCCGTGTAGTGTGAACTATTGCATTAGGTTAAATCTAGTGATTACTGAATATATAGTATACAGACTTCATAATCTGCACTCTTGGTTGAATGCAGTATTTAATTCCACTTTGGCTTTATGTTGTTTAGTTTTTATTCAAGTACGCTTCTTGTTGATGGAGACTGAAAATCCATTTTTGTTTTTGGTTGTTTTGTTTATTTAGTTCATCAGCTCCAGTGTTATGTGTTCTTTTGAAAATAAAATGTATCTATTTATGGCAGGAAATAGCATGCATTATTAGTAATTTCCATTAAATCAGCGTCAGAAGGTCTTGAAACAATATTATCGTTTATCACAATAATTTTTTTGACAATCGCTCAGCAAAATTCGTTATCGTGACAGGCCTAACTAAGATGTTGATGCAGAGTTCATAAATGAAATTGTGCTGCAGGATGTGAAGAGCAGACGTAACCCTCGCTTGGTGCCATATGCTTTATTGGATGAACGCACAAAGAAATCTAACAGAGACAGTCTGAGAGAGGCCATTCGGACGATGGTTGGATACGGATATGACATCGACCCTCCAGACCAGGAGGGTGAGACTCTGATTCTGATCAATTATCTAAATCTAAAGCTAATCTCCATTTTGGGTCACGAATGTTCTTAAAGGGACAATTGTCCCCAAAATGCGTTGATAAAACCATTATTAAGTCAGTAAGTATTTGTAAAATTAAATATTGAACATCTTCTTACGTTGATCAGTCCCTCCAGGATTTTATGATTGTTTTTGTGATTTTTGCAATGATTTTGTGGTGCAAATTTAGAAGTATTTGCAAGAAATTTTGCGGTATTTGCGCAGATGTATGATAAATGGATAGATGTGACGTTTTTTACTTACCGTATTGATGACGTACTCTAACATCAACTAAAGCAGAGGCAGCAGTGTTTTCGACCAATAAACTCACAGGGATCTGCTGATTTTATTTTTTGCATGAATTTCCTCGATTGCAGGATTGTGAAAAACTTCAGGGCAACATAAACAGCTTTATCGAGTAACTAGAACTAGACTAATGTCTTCTTCCACTGGAAGATTATTTAACCTGTAACTAATAATTTTACATTGATATTAAGGACGATATTATGAAGCTCCTATTTGTAGCTGAATAGATTTAAAATTTTAAGTGTACTCAGATATTAGCACTAGAAACTAAACGCAAAGTACTTGGTAATATTTTGTGTTTTTGCAGTGAATCTGAATACCAAAGCTTTGAACCAAATCAACACAAAATGAATAGTAGCTAAAGTTGTACTTAATGCAGAGTGAGTAATATCTGTGAAGTAAAATAGCAGGATGATTTCAAATTCAACTCAGGATGACCTGAGCTATCAGTGCAGAAAAGAAATCCTTATTTGACCTTTAAAATTAGGAACTAATTCATAAAAAAATTTTTCTCTGCTCTTGTTGTTTGGAAGTATCATCATATTTTATTATTTGCATTTTTAAATTACACGGCTCTTCTTTTTCTCTCCGGACCAAAGTTGTGCATGCAATAGATAATCAGAGCATCGAGACAATCCGCTTTTTCCGCGTGGAGCAAACGTACGCCGTGAAGACCGGGAAGTGGTACTTTGAGTTTGAGGTTCTGAGCGGAGGCGACATGAGGGTTGGCTGGGCCAGGCCGGGCTGCAGGCCCGACGTGGAGCTGGGAACCGATGACCAGGCCTACGTCTTTGATGGATACAGGGTAAACTGAAACAGCTGCGCATCGTTTGCAATGAAATCCAAGCAAGAGGTCTCTGTCAGTTTTGTTTCTCATAATGCTTTCGTTTCTTCAGGGTCGACGGATGCATGCTGGTAGCCGTTACTTTGGGCATCCGTGGAAGAAGGGCGACGTGGTTGGTTGCATGATCAACATGGAGGACAAATCCATGATTTTCACTCTGAACGGAGAGCTCCTGATCACCAGCAAGGGCTCTGAGCTCGGCTTCGCTGACTTTGAAACGGAGGATGGTGAGAACTTCTGTCAGATTCTTTCAGTATTTAGTTTCAGAAATGAAAAACGTAACACATGAACTAATTGTCCTCTAACTTCTTGCCTTAATGCAGGTTTTATTCCGGTGTGCAGCCTCGGGATGTCTCAGATCGGCCACATGAACCTCGGAAAGGACGCCAGCACGTTTAAGTACTACACCATGTGTGGCCTCCAGGAAGGCTTTGAGCCCTTTGCTGTCAACATGAACAGGGAGATAACCATGTGGTTCAGCAAGCGTTTGCCCACGTTTTTCAACGTACCCCAGGACCACATGCACATCGAGGTATAGAACACCATCCCTTATTATCTTCAGCTTTGCATGAGTCGCGTTTCCATTTCAGATGTGTGCCAAAGTTTTTTATTCTGCTAATATAGAAAAACACAACCTTGCAATTGCAGTGTTTCCATTAATTAAGAAATACAGTTAAAATCAGACGTGAATAAGCTTGTTCACGTGATAAGTGATGTAAGGGATTTGTTTCTTGTCCTCTTAGGTTACCAGGATTGACGGGACAGTGGACAGCCCCCCGTGTCTCAAGGTCACACATAAGACGTTTGGCACCCAGAACAGCAACAGCGACATGGTTTACTGCAGGCTGAGCATGCCGGTGGAGTTCTACTCTGCAGACAGACTGCTGGACGAGTCGCTGAAGCTCAGGTGAGGCTTCTGCACTCAGGTTGAGGTTTCATCCTCACTACAGCCTGTTTTTTTCTTTTAATAAAACAATTAATGCATAATCTAAGGTTACTTTTGTTCAAGTTTCCAATGTGGTTTGGAAACGTATGGATGGAGTTGAACTGAAATGTTTTCCAGGAATGGATGAGGTTGGCAAATAGAGAATGGAAAAACTGTTTCTAGATTTCATCCTTCTTTCACTTGTCTATTCATTCATCCGTTTCTTTTCTTTTCATCCATTTGTTTATTTGTCCATCTGTTTTCTTTTTATCAATTTGCTTATCTATTCAATCATCTGTTTCTTTTACTTTTATTTATTCACTTATCCATTTATCCATCCATTTTCTTTTCTATTTATCCATGTATCTATTGATTTTTCTTTCTTTTCATTCATTTGTTTATTCATCCATCCATCTGTTTCCTTTCTCCCAGCTGCTGGCAGAAACCTTTTATTTAAACATGTTTGTTTTTTTCAGCCAACCTCCCAAAGAAGATGGAAGTATTGACTATGGAAGCATCACAACCGTAAATCACCACTAATTCTTAAACTTACTGATAAAACGTCCTTTTTTAATCTTCACAATATGCTTTCCCATTTCGTTTAATTATTTTTATTTTTAAATCTGCAGTACTACCACTCAGTGAGAGTGTTTGCCGGACAGGACCCTGCCAGCGTGTGGGTGGGCTGGGTCACACCAGACTATCACTACTACAGCAAGAACTTCAGTCTCAGCAAGACGCAAACTGTCACCGTCACCCTGGGAGACGAGCGGGGCCGGGTCCACGAGAGGCAAGCTGCTGGTTTTTAAATCTGGGAATAAACAACGTTTAGAGGATATTCTTCAATAATGTCATTCCTCTGACCAGACCTAGAAACTGAAGTCAAATTAAAGTGAATAATAAAACATCACAGTGTATCTGCATTATGGGAAATAAAGCAGATTTATCTAGAACACATCAAACATAAGGCCCGTGGGCCAAATCTGGCACGCCGTAGCTTTTTATGTGGCCCTCTAGATTCTAGGCTAAACACTAAGTGAGCTTAAATATTACATTATCTATCAAATCAATTAAGTTTTTATCTGTTTACTGCTATATCATATCAGTCTGTCCCTACAGTTTCTTGAGAATTATCATGGAAATTCAATCAAAATCATCAAATTGCACCAATACATAATTGGGAGTTTATTGCAGATTTTTCTCAAGAATGGTCAAAAACTTTCTTACTTGTGCTAAACAGCTGCCTCAGCCTTAATTGATGTCAGAGAGTAATAAAAAGTCACACTTACTGTCATAAATAAGTGCAAATATTTCCAAATTAGAACCGCAAACTGATTTTTATTGGGGAAAAAAATCACAAAAAGAATCATGAAATCCTGGAGGAACTGAAAAGATGTTCAGTAATATTTAATTTTAAGGATTCATTGATATTTTAGCAGTTTGTGATCAAGTTTTATCAATATAATCTGGTACAACCGGCCCATTCATGATCTGGATTTGGCCCAAAACCAAAATGAGTTTGACACCCCTGATCTAAAATGTTACATTATTGGCTGGTTACATTATTGGATGGTTCCATTATTGGCTGGTTACATTATTGGATGGTTCCATTATTGGATGGTTACATTATTGGATGGTTCCATTATTGGATGTTTCCATTATTGTACAGATGTGCAGCTAAATCTGCTCACATAGAAATAGTTTCTACAATCAGTTTTTCTACATTTCATTCAACATGAATGTCTATCATCATATTTTTCCTCTTATTTTAAGGTGTTAAGTTTTTCAAAACAACTATGTTTTCCAGAAATCATTGCAGTAGCTTAAAAAATATAGCTTTATCTTTCAAACAACAGAGAAGTTATTGAAGTTACATGACCCTCATTATAGAAAGCTATTAATTTCTTTAGATCAGCATTGAAACCCAAGTTTGATATTTGTTCAAAGGCTTAATTTTACCTGGGATTTTTAGTTTTTTTTATGCTGCAAAACACACATCCAATCTGAATTATTGGGAATGTTTCAAAGTTTCTGAGCTCTTCCTGTTGCTCCTCTTGCTGCAGTATCCAGAGGAGCAACTGCTACATGGTCTGTGCAGCAGATGCACTCGGCCCGTCTTCCTCCAGCCGCTCAAACACCGACCTGGAAATCGGCTGTCTGGTCGACTTGGCCACTGGCCTCGTCTCCTTCACCGCCAACGGCAAAGAACTGCCTACAGCGTATCAGGTTAGTAAGACTCTACCGTCATAAAAGCGGGGATGCCACAGGGAACACGCTTCGATGGGAGGCTTATTTACGGCAGCACATCCATCCAATTCAGCCGGAAGGCAAAACAGAACTAAATTGGGATGTATGTACATTTTTTATCTATTTTTGTTTTTCAGTGGATGGTAAACTCTCTGCAGAATAAACTTTTCAAAGTTGTTTTGGTAAATAATGAAGTGATTAAACATTAAAAGTAATTTTTTTATCTTTTTCTTCTCTGTTCATTAAATTGATTAAAAACTCTCTTTTTCAACAATATTGGATCAAACAATGCAGTTTGATCCAATTCAAAATAAGTAAATCTTTTTCAAAAAATCATCTTGATATTTAATTTTTTTCAAATTAATTTAATTTAATTTTCTATTTTTATCCATTTGCTTATTTATCTTTCCATCTGTTTCCTTTTTGTCCATTGGTTTATCTGTTCATCCACAGAACAGATAAAGATTATTTATAATAAATTTATTTATCTTAAAATAAATAAATTGTATTTATTTCATGGGTCTTGAATTTCAGAAATTACTTTGTCAGATTGTTTTTGGTTACTTAATATTAAATTGTTCTTGAAAAGCAGCTCCAGTATCACAGCTCAGTATTGTAAATGTTTTTAAAAAGTAAAAATCTCTGTTTTTGTTTTTTTCCTGCATCATTTATTAATGATCTTTTCAACTGATTCTCAGAATTGTTGATCGTTCAGATTATTGTTGATCTTCCACATATCAGTGATGCTTTGCTGTTTGAATATTTTGGGGAATAAATTTGAAAAATCTTCTCTGTTAATTTAGTGATGCATGTCGTTACTTTGGTTTGTTTGTTTCCAGGTGGAGCCGAACACCAAGCTGTTCCCGGCTGTGTTTTGCTGCCCCACCAGTTCCAACCTCTTCCAGTTTGAATTTGTCAAAATAAAGGTTTGTCTCAATTTGCTTCCATTAAACATTATATTTAATATGCAAGTGTTTTAAAAGGCTGCGTTAGAGCTACATATTCACGTTAATCTTTCTGAAGAACAAACTTTTATGAATTGAAGGAACCAAAGATGGTTTCCTCTGCCCCCCCTGTCGTATCCCAGGATGCCATGCCGCTGTCGTCAGCCATGTTCAGAAGCGAGCAGCGGAACCCGGTTCCTCAGTGTCCGCCGCGTCTGGATGTGCAAACCATCGTGGCCGTGCTTTGGAGCCGGATGCCAAACACCTTCCTGAACGTGGAGACGGCTCGGGTCAGCGAGCGGCACGGCTGGGTGGTGCAGTGTCTGGAGCCTCTGCAGATGATGGCCGTGCACATACCTGAAGAGAACAGGTAGCATGTGAAAGACTGACGGTTGCGTCTCATCTGACTGAATGTGTTCCTCAGGGCAGCTTTGAATCGTCAGGTTTTTTTTGTCTTTCAGAAGTTTACATGCAGCCATTGTAGAAAATAATGGGCTTGACTTGCATTTGAGCTGCTTTTCTTCTGGAGTTGGAAAAAATTAAGTTATTAACAGGAATAATATTCAGATAAATGTCAGCAAGTTGAACAGATACCATTTCTGGAAGTCATCAACAAGCTTGTTGTTATAATTCGGTCAGGATATTTGACCACTCTTCTTAACCCTTCTTCACCGAACATGTCAACAACACAGCCAAATTTGCAGTACCGTAACTCTGCTATACTTTGTGCTATCTGAAAAACTCCAACAGTTTCTGAAAGGAGAGACGTTGCTCTTTCCAGCCAGTATCGGGTTATTACGGTAATTTTAGTCCTGTCATAGCACAGAGCATGTTTCTTTTAGTAGACGGTAAATTGCGAAAAAAACTGCTAAATATCAGAAGTTCCAGTTGTTATGGATAAATGGGCAAATATATTTACTCACAGGACATTTAAAGACCTGCAAACAATTAGAAAAAGCAAAAATATCCAAGCAGAGACTTGAAACTTAACACTACGGGGGTAAGAATTGGTGTAGTTGATTTGTTTTACTGGAGCATTCTCAGCATTTAAGACATCAAGGAGTTGAGAAAGCGATTTAGGAAGCTTAAGATTAGCCTCCAAGACCAGTTTAAATGTGTCACTGGGTTCAAACATCTAGCAGTGTTTCTTTGACATCCATTTTCACTTCAAGATGGGAATTGTGACTCTGTGGCCGTCTCTCCCAAAATGAAAGTCCTGAGAGTAAAGAAAGAGCCTATCAATTTTTCACATGGCTACTCTCCTCCTTGTACCCTGCTGGGCTTTATTTAAATTTTTGAAACAAATGTGCACATGTGCCCTACGGTACGCTGTGTGCCCTCTCATATCAGATAAATAATCATGCAGGGGTTATTATTTTAGTCTCAGTCCAGCCCAGCCTGCAGCTGGGGATCAGATTAAATCCACCTTGAGCTTTTATCAGGAACTGGACAGTGGGATTTACAGTAATCCAAGTGAGATTTAGTGAAAAACATGGATTATAAATCCTCTAATTGTGGACTGGGTGCAGAAAATATTTTAAAAATTTTCCTCTATTTCATTGTAGCCACTAGCTAAAAACCAAAAAGTTCATATTATTTCTCATGAATGTACAATCAGGATACCAGATTGCCTGAAAAAAACAGAAATTTGGACATATTTACACATTTATTAAGAAAGAAAAACTGAAATATCACATATTTCAGGGAGGAACCTGATCAGCCATTGTGTCGAGTTTACAGCCAAAAGTGAAACGAATGACTTAAAGTAGCATTGTGGAAATGGATTAAGGAATTACATTGTTCAAATATAATATTTTTGTATTTAGTTCTGCTAAAATACAAAAATATTTGAGTAAATTTTAAATTTATAAGAATTTCAAATTTTTATACAATTTTGTATTTTATAACAATTTGAAATTTTTAAATTTAAATTAAATTTATAAAATTAATTTTTTTTATTTAAAGCAAAAATATAATTTTTATTTTAAATAAAAAATATTTGAATTTTTTTAGCAGAACTAAAAAAAAGATTATCTTACAGGAAATCTAAAAAATAAAAAAATGACAAAAGATAAATCTTATCTTAGAATAACTAAATCTTGTTTTGTAAGATTTTATTATCTTACAAAACAAAATCCTGTTTTTAAGATAATTTTGTCATAATTACCTTAAACAACAGGTGCATTTAAATCTCTGCAGAGCAGTGCAACCGCAAATTAGTTTTTTTTGGAAATAGACCCCAAACAGGATGAACCCTAGAGGTCAAACGAGAGACAAAACGTTTCCCTAAATCAAGGCTCAACGAATGGTAGATATTTTTCTGTCGTTCTGCAGGTGTTTGGACATCATGGAGCTGTCAGAGCATGAAGACCTGAGGAAGTTTCACTCCCACACTCTGAAGTTGTACTGCGCCCTCTGCGCTCTGGGAAACACGCGTGTGGCTCACGCTCTCTGCAGCCACTTAGACCAATCACAGCTTCTCTACACCATCGACAACCAGTACCTGTCGGGCATGCTCAGAGAAGGCTTCTACGACGTCCTCATCAGGTGGAGAATCTATTTATTTTAAAGCTTTTGTTGGCTCTAGTGGCCTTTACTTGAAAGTAGTTTGACAGGAAAGAGGGTATTGAGAGAGGGGTAAATATCGCCAGGCCGGGAATCGAACCTGCGACTACCGCAGCGAGGACTAACGCCTCCATATGTGGAGCAACACCTTCTTTATTTGTTTGTTCCTTTTTCTTTTAGGTGATTATAAAAAACAAAACCCGCCTCTTGGTTTCTTCTCAGCAAAGGATAGAGAAAAAATGATCCTGATGTATGGCTGTTTCAGTGTCAGCTTCAGTGCCAATAAGTGCTAACGTGATGAAGTGGTAAACACAATCAACGTCACATTTACTCAGTAAATCAAATTAATGGAAGAGATGTATTTATGTAGCCAGCTCACATCTCCTGCGTCTGAATATCCTTCTTTTATGAATCCATCTCTGCCTTAAGTTTCCCTCAGCTCTGTGTTTTTTCTCTCTCTCAACTGAGCTTTCCTGTAGCTTTTGAAGTGATCCCACTTTTCTGAGGCCCTTTTGAAGTCTTTTCTCTGATTTTTGGGTAATTTCACACTCACTTTCACGATATTATCGGACCATTTTCAGAGAAATGTCTGTCATTTAAGCCACTTAACTATGACTTATGACTCATTCAGGCTGAGGCTCCCAAACTCAAAGGCATAACAGAGAAGATGGCTAAAAAAAATGAGCTTTTTTTGGCAATTTGTTCGTAGCACCATGTTCCAAAGTTGCAGTTGGATTCACTTTTTAGTTGTTCATTTTTCTACCATGCCACACAAAGAAGCAGTGTGTTCAAGGCACTTCAGGATGCGTAAGCGTTTTGAGAAAAGTCCAGATTTTCAGGCACTAACAGTTTTAGTAATTCCAACTGACCAAAACCAAGAAAGTTTTAATTTGATTAAAAAATAGAAGATAGTGGGGTGTGCTGTGGTGGTGCAGGGGTTATCACAACCCACATATGGAGGCCTTAGTCCTTGACGCAGCTGTCGCAGGTTCGATTTCCGGCCTTGGCAACCTTTACTGCATGGCTTCTCCTCTCTCTCTCTCATTACCCACTTTCCTGTCAATTAACTATCAAAAAAAAAAAAAAAAAGCCACTAGAGCCAAAAAAAAAAGAGAAGATGGTGACTTATTATGCTTCAATGAACAGATTGATTTAGGTACAAAATAAATGTTCATTACAGTTTTTGCACCAGATTATTCTTGGATAATGAGATTTTAGTGTTCAGTTTTTCCTACTTTGAGTTCCTCTCAGATTGAGCTGTTTTAGGGCCTTTAAATTTAAATCAGCCGCTGCTGGCCACGCCCCCAATTCAATGTTTACACTCGCATGAAAACGGCTGCAAACAGACGACCAATTATCTAACTGTACAGCTTTGAAAAGCAGAAGTGGAGCCTCCTGCACAACCAACAAGAATGCAGCAAGTAGTTTCTGAACTGCAAGTCGGTAACAAAACACTTGTCTTTTCCAGCAGCCATTGTACAGCTCATACAGCAGTAAAATTAGCTGACCAATCCTGCTGGAGCTCAGCTTAGGTTGCTAGGTAACGGTGCAGTGCCTGTCAGTAGTAAGGTTTTTGAAACAGCTCATTTTCCAGACACAAAAAAAAACATTAGCTTCTTGTTTTTTAAGCACTTGGGTTGTTTTTAGAAGGAAGCATACAAATGTGCAAAATATGAATTTTGCATCATAGGCCATTTTAAAAAAGGTTGTGTTTGAATTTGATCTGATTTCATCTTCATAGTGGGATGTTTTGTCTCGTGGGTTTAGTCTACAAAAGTTATCCTGCCAGTTACATTGGATTAATTATGATGATCTAAAATCACCACCACCTTTTTTTTTTTTTTTTCATCCAGCATTCATCTTGAGACGGCGAAAGAGGCACGGCTAATGATGAACAACGAATTCATCATCCCTGTGACGGATGAGACCCGGTCCATCAAGCTGTTCCCAGATGAATCTAAGCGGCATTCTCTTCCCGGAGTCGGCCTGAGCACTTCCCTCAAACCCCGAGTCAACTTCTCCCCGGTCGGCATCATCAGCACCAAACGCCACCAGCTCCTCTACAGCCCCCAGATCCCCCTGGGCATTCTGAAGGAGAAAGCCATCAGCATGCTGACGGAGGCCGTGCAGGGAGGAGGCTCCCACATCCGAGACCCGGTAGGCGGGAGCCTAGAGTACCAGTTCGTCCCCATCCTGAAGCTCATCGGAACGCTGCTCATCATGGGAGTGCTGACCAGCGACGAGGTGAGGCTGATTCTCCTCCTCATCGAGCCCAACGTGTTTGGGGAGGCCAAGGAGGGAGAAGAGGGGAGCGAGGTGGTGGTGGCGGGGGAGAAAGAGGAGGTGAGCAAGAACGAGGAGAAGGCTGTGGAGGCGGGAGAGGAGGAGACCAAGGAGAGCAAACCGGCCGCCAAAGGCCTGCTGGAGAAGTCCCTGCCGGAGTCTGTTAAACACCAGGTGACGAAATATTTTATTTCAGTGAAAAAATGCTGAATGCTTGGGGATGCATTATAAATCTATTTGGCTCTTACTGCTTCTAAAAACAGCTCAAGTGGTTTAAAAAAAAAACTTTCCAGCTGGTTTTTTAGCAGCAAGTTAATGACTTTTGCTCCATTTCAAAAACCTTCCAAATGGCCGAATTAGCCTAAATTAGCAATCCCACTGGCTGTTACCTAGTAACCCAAGCTTAGCTCCAGCATGTTTGGTCAGCTGGTTTTACCACTGTACAATGGCTGCTGGAAAAGATAAGTGTTCTGTTGTTGACTGGCCATCCAGAAAACACTTGCTGCATCCTTATTGGTTGTGCAGGAGGTTCCACTTCTGCTTTTCAAAGATGTATGGTTATATAATTGTGGAACTGTTTGCAGCCATTTTCACGTGAGAATGTAAACGCTGAGTTGTGGGGCATGGCATGGGCAGCAGCAACCTATCTAGATTTAAAGTGACAGAGGCCCTAAAACAGTTCAAAACTATTTTTTTTTCACCTAAGAATAATTTTGTACAAAAAATGTAATGAACATGTTCTGTTGAGCCTATCAACCTGTCCTGACCTGTTCCAGGAACCATAATAGGTCACCTTTAAGATCTAATTAAATCAAAGCTACCTTTATTTCATCAGATAGAGATAAAAAAAACAAGTTCTTTATCTGATCAGATTTCTGCTGTTTCCAGATGTGCGAGCTGCTGCACTACTTCTGCGACTGTGAGCTGCAGCACCGCATCGAGGCCATCGTCTCCTTCTCCGACCGCTTCGTCTCCAAACTGCAGTACAACCAGAAGTTTCGCTACAACGAGCTGATGCAGGCTTTCAACATGTCTGCCGCCGTCACGGCCAAGAAGACAAAGGAGTTTCGCTCGCCGCCACATGAACAGGTGCCGCACTTTAACGGCTCTACGCATGGAAAGCTATTAGCTTATGATTAAAAGAGAGGTGGACAGATGTTTATTTCATTACTAGAGGAGTTTTAGAGCAATAGTTAATATTCTCTCATTAATAGAAGTTAAAGGCAGGCCAATATGTTAGGGAATATTCTTGTACGTTTGTCTTGAGTCTCATAATTGAGTATTTTTCACTCTGCATACCAAATTGTTCAAATTAGCTGGAAAAACGTGAACTTTAGGTGCTGAATCTCCTGATAAATCATTAAATCACCTGATTCCCTCGTCCTTTCAACTCTTCCTGTTTAATTTTTTTCCCCATCAGAGAAAAACCCTTTAAAAACTCATCAGTCAGAGCCCTTCACAGAGGTTTGTTAGTCCTCAAAATGCTTTCGGTTTCCATCGTCTCCTAACTTCATTTCGGGTTGGAATACCCAAAGGGCAGCTTGGACCGCATGTGAAGCTAAATTGAATCGGCTGTGCGGTCGAGCCCAACATCTGGCATTTAAGAGCAGGAAAATATGAAATGATGGCGACGAAAGTGTTTTATGTTTTCAATTTAAAGTTTGAAGGTCGTCGTAATGTGTTGTGGACGATTTTAAGCACATCATATAAGTCTGAAGTTGATGGAAATATGGATAAAACTATCATTTTTAAGGAAGAACGTATTAATGTTTTAGTAAATAAAAGTCTGTATGGAGCTTTTTTATGTGCTCTTAAATAGAAAGGTTGGGTTTATTTTACACTGGTTTGTGATTCGTAATCATACAGCATCATTATTTATTCATGTTAGTTAAGGTGCTCGGATACATTTTTTTAATCTAAGATTTTTTTTCTTTATTCCTCGTGTTATTCTCCAGTTCTAGTTGGATTTTAAAACTAGAAAAAATCCATAATCCATTATGCAATTAGGAATTGCATAATCTCTAATTCCTGAGGGATTATGCAAGTAATTATTCACGTGACTGTTTCTCAGATAATTTTATCTCCACTCTTATTCCTGGTTTAAATTTCATTTTCATTAAGTCTTTACACAAGCATCTTATTTGCTCATTTCATCCTCATTAATTCTTCTTCTCTCAAGTTTCCCTCCACTTTTTGTTCCTCTAACCTTCTGTAGCTCATCTTGTTTCTTTCAGATCAATATTCTGCTGAACTTCAGTGCAGGGGAGGACTGCCCTTGTCCCGAGGAGATCCAGGATGAACTCACGTCTTTCCATGAAGAATTACGGCTGCACTGTGGTAGAGTTCAGCTGCTCATTATAGTTAGACAATCACGACTAAACCAGGGGTTTCTGCTCTCAGTCCACACAGAGCTGCAACTGTAACGGGATTTTTACAACAAAAGACAACTTATAGACATCGATGCTATGTATTTTTTTTTTTTAAATAACCACCATTTTATTTCTACTTTTAGGATTTAGCATAAAGGTAATTTTTAATCTGTGGTATAGAAAATGATTTGCAACCTAATGACAAGAAAAAAATTAGATTGTTGGTACTTTTGGCGTCATTGTTTGAGGAAATTTACTACAAATATTGAAGAAAAACCTGCCAGGCTGCATTTGTTTTGTCGTCTACATTAAAAAATCTAAATACTGTTTTGCTGCAATGTGCAAGTTTCACTTTAACCATCAATATGTTATTAAAAATCAGACTGTAAGATCAACAAATTATAATTGACTCAGTGTAATTAATAAACATGACTCATTCTTGTTAGATAACATAAATTGAGGAGAAACAAAAAAAACATTTTAAATAAATCAGTTAGGAGGAACTGTCGAAGTTCCAAAGAGCCACAGGTTGCAAACCTCTGGGCTAAATAAATGTCTTTATTTTAAAGACTTGATGGAGATTATTTACGCCTGATTTAGCAGCAACTTTGTTGTAAATGTTGAACCATTGCATTAAAACTCAAAGAAAGGCGTTTGCCCTGGCAGGAATCCCTGTGGAGGAGCAGGAGGAAGAGCAGGACACATCGATTAAAGGTCGGCTCCTGGCTCTGCTCTACAAGATCAAGGGCCCGCCTCAGAAGACAGAGGAGCAGCCCGCAGAGACAGAACAGGCCGCCCCGAGTAAGCCAACAACACACTGATGAGGAAAATGTTCTGGTGATCCAACAGCTAACATTTCTGGGAGCTCTACAGATTACGAGGGTGATTCTTTCCCCTCCCCCTCGTCCTCCGTTACACTGGAAAAAGGATTTGTGAAAACCTGATCAGTTTCATGTTAGGAAAAGAACCAAATCATCCTCCAGGATCTGCCTGCGTCATTAAAGTAAATGTCTAAATATTTATCCAGCTTCATATCAAACGGCTTCATATCAAGATCAAATCAAATCTTCTTTAATTCCAAAATAATAATATGAGAAATCTGGTGATCGGAGATTTCTTTATCCCTGTTTTTATTCAGATACTTGTTGGTAAGTGCTGGACTTCAGTTCAGGCTGGGGTCAGTGGTTTTTACACTTTACTTGCTTCCTTTTGCTGAATGTGTGGCTTGGTCCAGGTTCATATAATAGAAAGACTAATCTGCCGAGTCTGTAAGACTTGAGGCTATGAATTTTAATGCTGTGCTCCTTTCTCGCCCAGCTAGCCTGCATAATTGAAGAGCTACATAGAGGTGACAAATGATAACCGGGATGATTCTGAAACACAATTTAGTGTTGAGGCCCTACTTTTAGGAATTTTATCTGCAAACAGTGAGATTTGAGTTGAGTTTGAAAAACGCTTTGCTAGTGATTTTGGTTATCAGGTTAATTGGTTTGTTGAACTTTGTTCCAGAGATGAAGTTGTAATACAGCACAATGCTAGTGTGACTTTAAAGCTTTCAGGGCTTTTGCAATGGAGAAAAAGCAGCAAGCGTGGGTTATTTTGTGTTTAAACTCCCTTGTTAAAAGTGTAAAAGGGGTAGATGACACAGAGCAGCTGTGAAGCTGTCGGAGTTTCACCTTCAGGGCATTCGGCTCCCTGCCTCGTCCCTCATTAGGATTCTGCTGGAATACGACCCTTTGTTTGCTACAGATGTTGTGCTTTGAAACTCTCAAAGTTCAGCAATGCCTTTGGTGTGCCGATGTTATCACAGAGAGTTTCACAACGTTTATCTAAGAGAGGAGAGTGGCTACTTTAGGTTTATGAGATTAGCTGCAGTGCTATCCTTTCTGCGGTGTGTTTTAAAGTGAATAAAGTAGCCAAATTATATCCTAAGGCAGGGATGTCAAACTCCTTTTCATTTTGGGCCAAATCAAGGTCATGAACGCTCTTAAAAGGCCGGTTGTGCCAGAATGTATTGATAAAACCCGTTCACAAACTTTTAAATCCTTAACATTAAATAATATTATTGAATATCTCAGTCCCTCCAGGATTTCGTGATTCTTTTTGTGATATTTTTGCAATAAAAATCAAAGTGTTAATCTGGAAATATTTGTGCTTATTTATGATGGTAAATGTGACTTTTTATCAATCGCTGTAAAGATCGTGGACTATAATCTGACGTCAATTAAAGCTGAGGCAGCTGTTAGTAAGAAAGAAGAAAGTTTTTGACAATTTTTGAGAAAAATCTGCCATAAACTCCCATTTATTAGGGTAGAAAAGGGCGGGAATTTATTGCTTTTTGCATGAATTTCCATGATAAGTGTGAAGAAACTGGAGGGACTGATTGATATAATTTGGCAGTAAACAGATAAAAACTGCATTGATTTGATTGATAACATCATATTTAATCACACTTGATGTTTAGTCTGGAATCCAGAGGGCCACATAAAAATCTGTGACGGGCCAGATTTGTCCCACGGGCCTCGAGTTTAACACGTGTGTCCTTTGTTTTATTTGAACACTTCTGGGATTATATTTAAAGTTTAATTTCAAATGTCAAATGAAATATATTTGGATATTATTTGAGTTCTTTTGTTTCAGATGAAAAATATCAAGTTTCTTGCAGTGCTCTGAAAAAACTGTCTGTTCTGTACGAATTACAGAAATTCTGAAATTTTCAAACTTTTCTAGAAAATTTCTGAGTTGAATCTAAAAATTTAAATTTTCCTTTTAGCAAGGTTTTGGCTTTTCAAACTCCGAAATTTTCAGTATTTTTTCTAGACGAGTGGCGCAGACTGAGTTTAATCAGTGAATTTAAGTTTTTTCTAGCAATTTTTTGACTTTTAAATCTGAAAAGTTTTCATGTTTTTTCTAGAAAATTTCTGGGATTAATCTAAGAATTAAATATTTTTTCTAGCAAATATTAAACTTTTCAAGCTCAGAAATTTCCTTATATTTTTCTAGAAAATTTCCAATATTAATCCAACAATTTTTCCTGCAAATTTTTGACTTTTCAAACTCTGAAATGTTCTTGATTTTATTTCTCGACATATTCTGAGATTAATCCAAGAATTTAAGTTTTTTTCTAGCAAATTTTCAACTTTCAAAACTCAGAAATTTCCTTCTTTTTTTCTGTTTATAATGGCCCCAATGTGCCATCGTAGTTTGGCTCATTCTTATTGAGCAACACTAATACTAAAGGACATCGTACTTGCAGTCAAACATGGTGGTGGCAGTGTGATGCTCAAGTAGCTGAAGAAAGATCCAAATCACACCAGGAAGTCTGTTACTGAAAGGCTCCAAAACAAAATTAAGGTTTTTTTAGTGGCGCAGTCAAAAATTGAGATGCAGAGTCACGACTTTAAACCGATCGTTCATGTTTAAAAGCCTCTCAGTGTGGCTGAGTTGATGGAGATTGATGTGTTTTCCTTCCTCCTCCAGCCAACCTGAAGGAGCTGATTTCTCAGACGATCACCAGCTGGGCCCAGGAGTCCCACATCCAGAACCCGGAGCTGGTCCGAGTCATGTTCAGCCTGCTGAGGAGGCAGTATGACGGCATCGGCGAACTGCTGCGGGCCATGAAGAAGTCGTACACCATCAGCGCCGCCTCGGTGCAGGACGGCATCAACCTGCTGGTCTCTCTGGGTCAAATCAGGTCGCTGCTTTCAGTGCGCATGGGCAAGGAGGAGGAGAAGCTCATGATCGATGGGCTCGGGTAAGAGAACCGAAGGGAACATGGATCTGGAGATGAACGGTGACCTAAAGCACATTTTGTTTTTGTGGTTACAGGGACATCATGAACAACAAGGTTTTCTACCAGCATCCCAATCTGATGAGAGTTTTGGGAATGCATGAGACGGTCATGGAGGTCATGGTCAACGTCCTGGGTGGAGACAAGTCCCAGGTAAAGCACGCACGCACGCACACACGCACGCACGCATGCACGCACACACACAGTCGTGTTTTCATCACTTGTGGGGACTTTATATTGACTTCCATTAATTTCTACAGCCTAACCCTTACTTTAACTTTTACCCTAAACCTAACCATCACATACCTAACCACTAACCCAAAAACAATTTCCCTCATGGGGACTAAGAAAATGTCCCTGCAAGGAGCAGTGGTCCCCATAAACCCACATTGTAATGGGTTCCCATAAGGATATGAAAACCTGGTACACGCATACACACACACACAGTTTAAACCAGATATTTACATACACCGGATGACTCTGGATTAGGGATGAATTATCCAAATTAAAACTGAACAAAATCAGATGTGTAATGAGCAGCTCAGAAAAGAAATCTTATTTTCTTTAATCTACCCTCAACGCAGGTTCAGGAAAAGATGGTTTCTAGTTATGCTGGTCGATCTGGCATTGTATAGCAGAATATATTGTTTTGCACTCTTCAATGACAGTGAGAAATAGATTTTTTTATTATTATTTTCTTTTTCTCATTGGTAACTCTTGTATGCTTGTGTATCTGTAATAAACACCTTTCAATAAATATATCACACACTATATTCACCGAATGAAAAGACATATACACATTTTTTCTCACTGTCTGAAGTGGAATCAACCAAGCTTTTCTTGTTTTATCTTAGCTAGAATTACCTAAATTATTTCTATTTGCTAAATGCCATAAAACAGTGAGAAAATATTTTCTCACTATGTTTTATGGTAGTTGATTTATTGCTTACTGCAGCAAACATATTTCATTTGTGTGGCACTTATGCATTTTTAAAAATATATTTCTTAATGTGGGATGTTTTCTGGGAACTTTTACTTTGGTAATTGTAGACGGTGCTATTTAATATATTTTAATTACTTGGTCATAGCATCTCCTGTAAAATCAGGAATTGTCGTGAAATATAAGCAAAGGCTAAATTTAAATTCATATTGGGTTGTACTTAAAACAAATTTTATCCTAAGACTCAAGAGGAGCCTACAGCAACAGCCTAACACCCTGAAGAACCACAGGAGTAACGGAGACGGCGCAGGGACTGGACCCGGCTTGAGAGCGGCTTCTGAATGCGTGCTGACAGAAGCTGAAGGAGCCAGCTGGGATTAAATGCCAGAACCAAACAGGGATTGAGCCTCAGCCTGACAGACAGACGGACCTCCGGGAAGCTCTAAGACCCGATGACTGACGCTGACGATCGGATCAGTCAGAGACGGATTCCAGTCCGCCACTCGATACGCCTCTCACTGTGGCCATATAAAACTCCCGGGGGCTGTAATATGTATTTTATGACCATCTAGGTTGCATCATTAATTAGCTTTTATTTATACAATCAGGTTCTTTATGGTTGATAATAAAATAACATTTTAATAGCTAAAAAGGCTTTATGATAGATGGACATTCAGAGAAGTTGCTTTAGTCGTCCAGATCTGCTCATGACTCAAGTTGGACTTGGTGTGATTGAAAGTTAAGCAGCTGCTTGATGAGATTTTCTTTAAAACATTAGTTGCATTTTTCACCATTTGTCAATATTTTACCATAATTTTAACTCAATTCTGGGATCAGTCGACTGATTGATATGCAAAAAAAAGTTACTCTCTGGATCTCCCAGTTGTATTAAAGTGAAGCTAAAACTGTGTGCCTCTGTTTTCTACAGGAGATTGCCTTTCCCAAGATGGTGGCCAGCTGCTGTCGATTTCTGTGCTATTTCTGCCGCATCAGCCGGCAGAACCAGAAGGCCATGTTTGACCACCTGAGCTACCTGCTGGAGAACAGCAGCGTTGGACTGGGTAAGGCAGCGGTGTTGAACTCTTTTTCATGTCGGACCAAATCCAGATCATCAATGCTCTTAAAGGGCCAGTTGTGCCAGAATGTATTGATAAAACCTGTTCACAAACTGTTAAACTATCAATGAATCGGCAGAGATCGGCCTCCTGGATGATCGGTATCAGAATCAGCATCAAAAAACCTGATCGAAGTACCACTAGTAAATACCACTCTCCATTTCAAAATGCAAATTAATTAGAGCATCTTTGCTTGTTTGCTACTTCTGTAATATTTAAATTAAGAACCATAATATGGTATGATGTACTCTGCAAAAAATACAAGTTTTACCAAGTATTTTTGGTCTAGTTTCTAGTGTAAATTTCTTAGTTTTGTCTTATTTCAAGTGAACTAACTTAAAAGTAGCTCTTCAGCAAGATGTAGGAGCTTGTTTTAAATCAATAATTCCTTAATACTGATGCCACTAATATGAGGAAATAATACGAAGATATTTCCTCAAACTATAAGTGAGGAAATGTCTCAGTTATAAAAGACATTTAATCAATAACAAGGAATTATTGACTTTAAACAAGCTCCTTTATCTTGCTAAAATGTTACTTCTGTGCTAATTTTGACTTATTTCAAGTGCAGTAAGATATTTCTCTAGAAACTAGACTAAAACTACTTGGTAAGATTTTGTGTTTTTGCACCATGAGCTAATAATAGTAGGTACTGTATGTGCATAATGTAGCTTAGGAATGATGAAGTATCTGGTTTTGACATGTTAGTATGAGGCACCCCAAAGTAAACTCTGCTTAGGGCCCCAAAAGGCTTGGGGCCCCATTCTGAAAATTAACTTTCTGTTTTGTAATTTCTGGAACTGACAGATAATTAGCTCTGACTACTATTTTAAGGTTGTTGTTGTTGTTAGTAAAACTGCAGAAATCTGAAAAAATAAGGAATTTCTAAATAAAATCATACGAGAACCGAGGTATTTACTCATGCTGCGTGTTTTGTATTAAAATGCCAAGTTGTTTTAAAGAGTTTTCAGCCGATCGATATTAAAGCTCAGTCATAAACAGGCCGTGTTTCCAAATGCAGCCAAGATATCAGGTTAAGAGAAAGGCAGCTGGTGGACTGAGCAGGATGGCGAAATGGTGAGACACACAGGGTGGGACTGACGACGACACACAACAGTTGTTGTCCAACAAAACACATTAGATCAGAGGCTTCCAAAGTCATACAGGCTTTAGATTTCCTCCTGAATCAAATGATTGGTTCACCAGTGGATAACCTGAAGACATGTTGAAGAAGAGGTTAATTAGTCATTTGAATCAGCTGTGTTGGAGCGATGCGCCTAAAACTTGGCGGACATTGACCCTCAAGGACTGAAGCTGGGCACTCCCTGCTTCAGTCGTTTGCCAAGTCTCTTTAAAAGCATAATTTGATCTGGAGAAAATACTTGGAGGGCATCGTCTGTATAATGTGACTTTCAAAATAAGATCATGAAACAATAGGAGAGACGAAAACTGGATGACAAAAGTCTTCGCTGCCCAACCAGCCAATTTGGTTCACAGAGACTTCATGATTGATTTTATTGTATTTTTTTCTTTGTTTTATAAATTATGAATATTTAAAATGTTCTCCACTTCCAGTGTTAAATATTCATTAGAATTTAAATGTAATTGATCTTTATGTGTTCTTTGTATTAGCTGAAAATGGTGTTTAAAAAAAACAATATTTTTTATTGCAATAACAATTTATTGTCCAGCAAAATTTGTTTTCGTGACAAATCATTAGAAGTTTATGATCTGGAAAGATAATTTTATTATTGATTGGTTTGCTATTGTGAAAACATATTTTTTTCTTGTGTTTTCATAAGCTGACTTGAATGCTCTTAATTTGAATGTTAACGTTTTTAATTTTGTTAAAATTAAAATTCAGATTTTTAGTTTGGCAAAACTGTTAGACTAAGTGTATGCCAAAGTCCAAGACCTTTAAATGTTTAGATTATAAGAAAAGGTGATAAATTCCCAATTTACTGTCCACTGTTAACATTATTAGAATTAAATTATTAAATTAGTGCAGCAATAGAAAAGAAACAAAATATTTTGTGGAAATTTCTTGGTACAAATGGAAAAATGTATTTAAGGAAAGCAGTTGATACAGCTAACCACACTTTATTACTCTTAAATTGCATAAATATGGGAGAAAAGGGACATTTTACTACTGGTTAAGTAATTATTTAACAAATAGGAAATAGTTCGTACAATTAGAAAATAAAAGATCAGATGTTTAAGAGAAGATTAAATGTGGAGTCCCCCAGGGTTCAGTGCTTGGACCAAAGTTTTTTTATATTGTAATTTAAGAACATTCATGAAATATAAAATATTGTTAACTTTTTTCTTTTGCTGATCATAATGCTTTTTGTAAAAAATTGTATAGAATTTTTAGTTTGTCTATAAAATGTCTAAACTTGAGAGGTTTACAGACAAATTGTAATAAAACCAAATTTATGATTTGTGGTAACAGACAAATAGATAATTCTATGATATTCCAGTGGAAAGAGTATGAAATTGTTATAAACTTAATTGTAAGTCTCATGTAAAATAAATAAAACAAAAACCTTGGGGAAGTATTTAATTTTTAAATAAAGTTTAAAAAAAAAAAAACACGCCTCGGTGACATGTAGCTAAAAATAGGATGAGTTTTTTTCTTGGCTGGTTCAAAGCTGTGACCGCAGCGAGGCTAAGTGATTGTGACTGTTCTCTTAAAGTATAAATATTTTACTTTCTCCTCCTAGCTCCTGTGGGTAATTTATCCTGTCATGATCTGACAGCTGCATTTATTTTGAGATTAAATAACACACAGGTGGATTCAGGGTGATAAAACCAAACCTTTCAGATTGTTGTAAATAATTTGAAGTCCGTGGATCATTTTACACGAAAAGAAAAGTTTGAGCACTTTTTCAAGGCTTTGCAGTAGAAACAGAAACATTGATTCTGATGTGATACATTGCCACCTTTTATTGTTTCATTTAAAATGAACTTTTTTTTCGTTTGTGTTCAGCGTCTGAAGCGATGCGAGGCTCCACTCCTCTGGATGTCGCAGCATCTTCAGTGATGGACAACAACGGTCTGGCTTTAGCTCTGGAGGAACCTGACCTGGAAAAGGTTTGGCAAACCTGGAAAATCTCAGTCTAAATAACAAAGTTTAAACAACTAAACATGCCAGGTTAGCCTCAAACTATCAATCTGTTGTAAGATTTGAAATATTGAGTGAAAATGACACACTTACAGGTGCATTTCAATAAATTATAACAAATTTTAACTAACAGAGTTTTATTAAAGTGATACTAATTAGAGAAATCATTTATTTCTTTAACTTACTGATAAAAATGAAGAGCCCACTGCAGTGAACTCCATTGAAAACCTCCTAGTTTTTCCTCCAACATCAGTATTGTTGTTTCTAAATGAATATGATCTTTGCATTATTGGGGCTCTGAAAGCACTGCATTTCTCATTTTCTGCAAATAAATACAACATTTTTGCTTGTAATTTCAGAGACATGTTGCTAGTAGTTCATAGAACAAAAGAAAAATATTTATTTTACTCAAACATAAATCTATAAAAAGTAAAATAAGAGTTGTAGTGATATGCTATATTAATTTGTACTTATATATTTAAAAAACAAACTTTTTGAGGCTGCACAGTTTGAATTTCATATAATAAATTAATAAAAAGTATTTGGTTTCTGCGTGCATGTTTGTCTTAATACTCTGAAACTCTCCGAAAACATCCATGATCCATTTGTTGGTGAACCAAACAAAGCTGGTAGTTTTATTTTTTTTCCTCCTGCTGACTGTTTTTATCAAACAATGTGATTTTTGAAGCATAATTCAGTTTGCTCTAGTCACGTTTTGCATAAAAATACAAAAAACTTATTGGTTCAGGACAAATGTTTCCATTTTGGACATAATTTTGGGATTAGAAACACAAGTCCATATTTTCACACATTTAGTTGTTGTAAATAATGTCAGAAACGCCCAGGAGTCTTACCCAGACGTGTGTGTGTGTTCAGGTGGTGATGTACCTGGCAGGATGCGGCCTGCAGAGCTGTGCCATACTGGTTGCCAAGGGTTACCCGGACCTGGGCTGGAACCCCATAGAGGGAGAGCGTTACCTCTCATTCCTGAGATTTGTCGTCTTCTGCAATGGTACGTCAGTCAACTTTCATATCAAATATTCCCTCAGAGATAATCTTTCAGTGAATTAAATAGTGTAGCTCCGACAATCAGGAGTGATTACCTTGATATTGAATTGTATAGCTTAGAAAAGTAGTGGTTGTGTTTAAAAAGGGATGATTTAGAATAGATTATGTAGGTAAATATGAACTGTGTACACAGATTCATAGAAAAATGCATTATGTTGATAGAAATGAGAACAGGATATGCTGTGACTAAAAGAAATCTGCCAGGAAAGGCTGCCAAGCTGCTGCTGAGTAGCCAGGACTAAGAAGTAAAAATGTTGGTCAGCTTTTTCAACACTTCCAGTAATAACTGTGCTCCAGCTGACTCCATCCATTCCTTTTGTGCGTGATATGAATCGTTAATGTGCGTGGAAGATTAATGTGGAGCTCCTTCTGGCTGTAGGTGAGAGCGTGGAGGAAAATGCTAACGTGGTGGTGAAGCTGCTGATCCGACGTCCCGAGTGCTTCGGCCCTGCCCTGAGAGGCGAGGGGGGACAAGGTCTGCTGGCTGCGATGAAGGAGGCCATCAAGATCTCTGAGGATCCCGCGCTGGACCTGCCCAAGAGCCCGGCTGGAGCCACCGCAGGGTAGAAATATCTCCAGTTTCACTGGCTCCCTCTAGCTTGTAAACCAGACATGGTCAAAATCCTATTTAAAAGGGAACCTCCTCTGCAAAATTCACGTTTGTATATTTCCATTTGGGTCGCAATTGCTTCTAAAACCAACCCAAGCTCTTAAAAGAAACACCCAGCCATTATTTTGGCAATAAGTTAATGTTTTTTGGTGTCTAAAAAATGAGCCTCACTGGCTTTGTGTCATTACCTAGCAACCCCAGCTGAGTTCCAGCCCGTTACCTAGCAACCTCAGCAGAGTTCCAGCCCGTTACCTAGCACTTTTGGTCAGTTGGTTTTATCACTGTATGCGTTGTACAATGGCTGCTGGAAAAGACAAGTGTTTAGTTGTTGATTTAATATCCAAAACCTTTTGCTACTCTTTTGTTGGTTGCACAGGAGGCTCTACTTCTGCTTTTCAAAGATGGTCGGTTGTGTAATTATGCATCTGTTTGCAGCCATTTTTTTTGTGCGAATGTAAATGTTGGCACTTTAAGTTTGGATTTAAAGTGACAAGAGGCCCTAAAACAGCTCAGTCTGGGAAATATGCAGAACTAAGCAGACTAAAATCTTACTATCTAGAATGATTTTGTCCAAAAAAAAAAAAAAAATACTATGAATATGTTTTGTATTGCACATAAGGCTATCCTGTTCAAAGAAGCATAATATGTCACTTTTAAAGGTTATAAATAATTTCTGAGTGAAGCTTTGAAGGTCAGCTTAAAGCTAAAAAAAATCAGATACTGTTGAGAAGCATTTATTTTGCTCAAAAGAGAGATGCTGCTCTCATTCCACCCTTGATCAATTACATCGACCTCATCAGATTGTTTAAAAACCCCAAAGGAAATCAGAGGCTCAGATGCTCTTCATTGAGTTTTTCCAAAGGAATCCAGGCTGGATCTGTTTTATAGGGCAAGTCTTTGTTTTTAATTATGAATTTATTGTGTTGCTAAAGATCCAAAGCAGCTTCATTGCCCACAGGAAAAAGTCTTAATTTTCTAATTTTAAAACTCAGTTTTTATAATAAACACGTCTTCACTTAGACTCTTTAAATGTTTATATATTTAAAATTTTAAATTGACATTTGTGTCTGTATTAACCAGGGTATTTATTTGTTGCGAGGGAATAAAAAAGAAAAGTTTTTCCTCATGTCCCCCAGTCGGCTCCGTTCACTTCCCAGCTATGAACTGCTTTGTGTTTGTCTAAAAAATCCCAGTATGATAGACTGAAGGTTTTTATTTTTATCTTCTCTAGCAACATTTTTACAAAGCTACAGATTTAATTAGGTGATTTAAGGGGAAGAAACATAGTTGTAGCTTTGATATTTACTGGCGCTGCAGCTGCTTTCTTCAGTGTTTGTTCACATTGTTATGCAGAAGCTGAAACACAGTGGAGCTTTAATGCTGACTGTATTTATAGCCTGAGGCGAAGCCAGGCATTTTGGAATTACGATCAGTGAAATATACAATGGAATGGGCAGAAAGGAGCTCAAAACGCAGCTACACACCAAGAAAACTCCAAAAAGAAGCTGTGATAGAGGCCAGAAAGTTGATCCCAGGCTCCTGTTTCTGTGCTGCAGGTCTGGTGAAGAGGAAGGAGAAGTTATCCACATGGGCAACGCCATCATGTCCTTCTACTCCGCCCTCATCGACCTGCTGGGACGCTGCGCTCCAGAGATGCATGTGAGGGAAACTGTTGATTAAATTACATTTACTCCTCAGTTAATGGCTGGCTGGTAAATAATTAATTATAAATCAATTAACAGGCTTCCGGCACATTTTTCACAAAAGTTCCAAGTCTGTTTACTGGAGATATTTCCAGTCATGACTGACTTTGAAAACAAAAATTCAGCAATAAGAAGGAAAGTTGTATAGTCTGGAATTCAGATACTTGTATCTAATTAACATAGATTTTACTTTTCATTTCATAATTAAATTTGGGCTTTTTTGCAGTTTGCATGATCCAGTCTTCAGTGTTTCTTCTTTTCTTTGCAGCTTATCAATGCAGGGAAAGGTGAAGCGTTGCGTATCAGAGCCATCCTGCGCTCTCTGGTTCCCACGTCAGACCTGGTGGGCATCATCAGCATCCCCCTCAAGATGCCTGTGATTAACAAAGGTCAGCACATTTTGGTGGCTGGAGTCATTTCTGGAAATGTGAGAGTAAAAAGCTTTCAACTGTAGCAGGAAATGGTGTTTAGTTTTAAAGTTATAATCATGTTTTAGCTCTCATAATCCATCCTGCTGCTTTTTTATGCACAGATCACATCTCAGAAAATGGAATATTCACAATGGAACTAAAATAATTCAATTATATTATGTAAACATCCATCAACTTTTTTGGCTTTTTTAGCCTTTGCTACTAAACAAACAGCAGTTTTCCTTTTTCTGTAACAATCTGAATACATCATTTTACCTCAATTATTGTCTACAAATGTGGCAGCAGCAACAAATTCTGAAATATCTCTGCACTGCTACTTTTTTATTTTCCACGTTTTTATTGTGGCATATGTATCATTTGGTATTGTTTTAAACTATTAACTTTTTACTTTCAGTTAACTTTGTGCTCATACCCTCATCATGAAGTCTTTAGTAGCTTTCTAAAGCACACTGTGACATTAGATGCAGTGTTTAATCCGAGTTGTTTAATCTGAGGTGTTTAATCTGGACTACAGACGGATCCGTGACAGAACCCGACATGTCGGCCTGCTTCTGCCCGGACCACAAGGCCCCCATGGTGCTTTTCCTGGACAGAGTTTACGGCATTGAGGACCAGAGTTTCCTGCTGCAGATGCTGGAAGTCGGGTTCCTGCCGGACCTCAAGGCCTCGGCGTCTCTGGACACGGTGAGTCCAAAAGAACCTTCATCTAATTCACAACTCTAAGCTAAAATAACTACACCGTTAAGCCACTTGAAGGGAAGAAAACCTTCTCAAAAGCGTCTCAGACGTCCGATTTATTAGTGAAATATCACAATTTTAGATGTCACGAGGCGCCACTTTTATCTAACCATATGCAGGTGTGAGCACCATGGGAATTTCTGTCTGAAAATGTCCAATGTTTCAGATTTATTTGTGTCTCATTTGTTTTTGTTTTTTTGTTGTTTTTTTAATCATAAGCCAAAAAGTTCTGCAATCTGCTAACAAACGGGTCACTAATTCAGCTGCATCGCCACCATATATTAATTTGTATTAAAATTATCTGGAAATACTTCCAGTAATTTTTTACTTTTTCACTTTTAAGCTTCAGTTTTATTCAGAAAACTTCTGCTTTCCTTTCTGAAATGAGGCACCAGGTATAAAAACACTTTTTTAGTTTATGTCTGTGTGAAAACTGGACCGGATGTCGATTCTCCGTCCCACAGGAAGTACTGAGCACCACGGAGACGGCGCTGGCCATGAATCGCTACATCGGTTCGGCTCTGCTTCCTCTGCTGACCCGCTGCGCCGCTCTGTTCGGCAACACGGAGCACTACGCACATCTAGTCGACTCCACGCTGGAGACCATCTATCGGCTGTCCAAAGGTCGCTCGCTCACTAAAGCCCAGCGGGACGCCATCGAGGAGTGTCTGCTGGCCATCTGCAAGTACGCACTCACTTGGTTTGGCACAAAAACAGAGAGCGAAATAGATCTACAGGACTTTTATCTGAAGTCTCATGTGTCTGATAGTGTATTAGGGCCATTGTACATTAAAAATGGATCAAATTTACGCCAAAAACCAAAAGATTTTCCAGAAATAAATTAGGAAATTTCTGAGCTCCAAAAGCTAAAAATTTGTGAGAAAAAGCTCATAAATCTTTAGGTTAATCTCAGATATTTTCTCAATAAAAATGGGAAATTTCTGAGCTCTAGTAGGTTGACAATTTGCAAAAAAAAAATCTGAAATTTTGAGATTAATTTAAGAAATATCCTAGAAGAAACTTGGAAATTTCTAATTTTGAAAAGTCAAAGATTTGCAAGAAAAACTCAGAAATCTTTAGGTTAACGGCTGAATTTATTTATTTATTGAAAAAAAACAACAGAGATTTCTGAGTTTGATAACTTTAAAAATTGTTAGAGAAATATTTTAGAACAAAAAGCATGGAAATATTTGAGTTTCAAAATTTGAAAGTGTCCATCTTTTGGAACACATGTCCCAAACAATGTGTAATTTTTTGGGGGATGTTGTGTTTTGAAAAATTTCCAAAAGTTAAAAATGTTTGACTTATCAAACTCAGAAATGCAGAAGTTTTCTCTCTAAAAACATAACTTTTTACTAGCAGATTTTAAACTTAAATTCCTAATTATTTTCTTTTTTTTTGGCAGAAATTATCTCCTTTTTCCCTAATCTGCTGTTATACATGTGAGCGGTTCACAGAACAGCAATCATCCATCCTGCAGGATTAATTGTAAAAGTAAAACTAGGATTTAAAGTGATATCTAAGGAAATCCCGCTGAAGTTATTTGACTTCTTCTTCCTGTTTGTGTTATTATTCCTGCATCACAACCTGCTTTGAGATGTCTTTTATTTTTCATGTGCTTCTCTAATTGTCTGCAGGCATCTTCGACCATCCATGATGCAGCAGCTGCTCAGGCGCCTCGTCTTCGATGTTCCTCTGCTCACTGAATACTGCAAGATGCCTCTCCGGGTGAGGGAGCACATCTGTTTTCTTCTTGCCGACGTCGAACATTTTACACCTGATTTCCTTCACCCTCCTCCAGAATATCCAGCACTCATGCTCCTCTAGTTTCCTTGTTTATCTTTACAAATTTGAGCTAAAACACGGTGCACAAGTTAATTTATTTTCATTATAGTATTTCACGGAATTAGGTTTTGCCTCTTGCATGTTTCTGCAGCTGCTGACCAACCACTATGAGCAGAACTGGAAGTACTACTGCCTGCCGTCTGGGATGGGCGGCTTCGGCATGGCCTCTGAGGAAGAGCTGCTGCTCACAAAGAAACTCTTCTGGGGAATTTTTGACTCTCTTTCTCAGAAGGTATGTTGGCTTTCTGTTATCTTCAAATGTATAAATTTGTTTTGCTGCTGCTTCTTTTAAAAAGTGGGAACAGCTCAATATTTTATAAAAACAAAATGCTTCCAGTAATTAGGCTCTCGCCGGCTTTTTGTTTTCTTTTTGCTCTGTTTTATGGTAATTTCTCGAGCTTTGCTTTCCTGAGAGACGGTTTTGTACTGAATGCATAATGAAGTGCTGTGAGCCTTGCAGCTGAAGCAAAGCCCAGATTGATCATTTATCAGTCTGTGACAGGGTCTGTTTCAGCGCACACTTTACCAGATTTCACATCAACTCCAAACTGTCCACAGTGTCTTTTTTCTCATGTCATAAATACAAGATTGAAAATATTTTGTCAATACTGTATCTTACCGATGAGAACCAAGTTGGGAATAAAAATAAAGTGGAAGAAACAATTGAATGGTTAACATATTTTATAAATAAATATCTGAAAAGTGTGGCTTGCATTTATGTTTAGTCCCCCTGAATCAGTATTTGACATCTTCAAATAAACCTGCTGCACTGAAATTGAATTACTCTGTTCACCTTTGATAAAATTTGGTGGCACTGGATTTTATTTTGGAGTGTCAGAGTAAAGGGGGCTGAGAAAATCTGCATGCCATACTTTTAAAAACTATGTATCTTTTTACTTACAATTTTTAGTTTGTGTTGATCTGTCACTGCAAAAACATAAACTCTTACTAAGTATTATTAGTGCAAAAATCTTAGTACACTTGAAACAAGACAAAACAAACTTACAAGATGATACTTTTTCATTAATATTAAGGAATCAGTAGTTAAAAGTCCCACATAATAACTTATAATATGGGGAAAATATCTTGTTCCACTGGAATTGTTGACTAAAAGAACCTCCTATATTTGCTGAAAAGTTGGTTGTAAGTTAGTTTAGTCTTATTTCAAGTGTAATAAGATATTTGCAGTAGAAATCAGACCAAAAATACTTGGCAGGATTTTGTGTTTCTGCAGTTCAGGTTAGATTCTGCGTTGACATTTGTGGCTGTAACGTAACAACATTCACAAATAAATCAAAAAGGCAGAAACCAGCTTCCTAAGCCTTTTGTTTGTGTTGTAGAAATATGATTCTGAGCTGTTTAAAATGGCCAAGTCGTGCCTGTGTGCCATTGCTGGAGCTTTGCCTCCAGACTTCGTGGACACCAGCTTAGGGGCGACGGTGGAGAAGCAGGAGTCGGTGGATGCACAGGGAAACTTTGAGCCCAAACCCATCAACACTGCCAAGTATGAGATTTTACTTGTGTTTGTGCACAATGTTATGCAAGAATTTATTTAAAACACATGCAAAGCAGCTGACTTTTGGCTAATGACGGATATTTAAGCAGTCATTTCTCTTTTCCAGCATCTCCCTTCCTGAAAAACTTGACTACATTGCTAATAAGTATGCAGAGCATTCCCACGACAAGTGGGCTTCAGAGAAGGTCAGAACCTCCTCTGTACCACATCTGCATATTTTACCCATGCAGCGTGTGTTGCTCAGAGGTGCAGTAATGACTCTGATTACCTGCATCTGTAGATGTCGGCTGGCTGGAAACACGGAGACAGTTTGGACGAGCAGGCCAAAGCCCATCCGCTGCTGAAGCCGTATAAATCTTTAAGTGAGAAGGTATGGAGCGTTGCACTGTCTCCAAAAACAAAGAATCTCCCTTATTTGTTGGTTTTTACTCTCCTGTTTTTATTGCAAAGTCAGAACAATTCAAATATGACTTAAAAAAAACTCAAGTTATGTTGATTTCTTATGGGATTACTGATATTTTCCCTGCTCTGCAGCGCTTTAGAGCAACTTGTTTCAAAAAGCTGATAATGTCTTCATCAAAATTGCAGGAAAGAGGTAATTATGTGTTAACGTTCTCAATGAACGAAAATAAACTACATGTTCTTTTATGTTATGACGTTCTGTCCCACAAAGTTTCAACTAATAGTTGCCCTGATTGAAAGTTTCTCCCAGAAAACCTGCTAAGCCTGGTGGTTGGGCACTAAGGCAGTCATTCATCCAGCGACTCGCCGTGTTTATGAGTAAAAAGATGTTTAAAGTTGACAAGAAATTTGAAAATATCACTTGATAATTATGTTATTGGAAGATTAATACCTGAACACCAAATATAAAGTCTTAAAAAGTGCAAACACTTAAAAAAACTTAAATATATAAGCAAAGCTTAGCCTGGTGGGGGCACAAGTAAAGCCTGGTGGCCCGCCAGGCTTATAATACACCAGTGGAATAATTCAGACAAGTTCACTGACCCAAACATGCTTCAGAACTGAAATCCATTGAAATAAGGTGTGATTAAAAATATATGTGAATAAATTTAATTTTAGGGAGATTTGTGAACGTTCCTACAATCTGTGTATTATACATATTTTGTTTTAAAATTCTTTATTTTTGAGGTATTGAGAGGATTACAAAAGCACAATTTCAGTCTGTGATCAGATATAAAATTCCTTCTCATGACATTTCCATTTACAAAAACAAAACAAAATGATGGAACAAGGGGGTATTATCTTGGAAAGACATTACTTTTATGTACATAACTAAGTATATTATAAAATAAATAGACACTTCCTGAAGGATGAATTATGCAAGCAAAAACTCGGCGTCAAAGCAGCCAAAAGGAATCGAAATCCTGCAAAAACAGAGCCGGTATTAAATCCCTGAGCAGAATTTGATTTGATCTTCATTCTGTCATCCAGGATGAAATATTAATCATCCAACACGACTTTTATTGTAGTTTACAACCAGAAAATACGATCCACAAAGTATATGGCATCAATAACATTCATTTTACAGCTGAATGTGTTGCTTGAATTGCTTCCACTCCAAATGATTATACACTGATGGCAAATTAAAATAAATATGAAATACTTGCAAAGTTGAGTCTTTCTGACTTTAAACTTTAGTCATATAGATAAAAATAGGAGACACTTATATTTTTTTCTTATTGGTGAACATGTAGATCACAGGTGTCGAACTTGAGGCCCGTGGGCCAAATCTGGTCCGCCACAGCTTTTTATGTGGGCCTTTAGATTCTAAACTAAACACTAAATGTGATTAAATATTATGTTATCAATCAAATGAATGCGGTTTTTATCCGTTTACTGCCTGATTATATCCATCTCTCCAGTTTCTTGATCTTATCGTAGAAATTCACGCAAAATCCCTACACTTTTTTTCTATTATAATTGGGATTTTATTACAGATTTTTCTCAAACATTGTCAAAAACTTTACTTGTACTAAGCAGCTGCCTCAGCCTTAACTGATGTCCGATTATAGACCATGATCTATATTACAGTCACATTATAGTCCATACAGTAGTAAAAGGTAGCATTTACTGTCATAAATGAGAGCAAATATCGCAAATATTTCCAAATTAGTACCACAAACACTTAAGAATCACAAAATCCTGGAGAGTCTGAAAAGATGTTCAATAATATTAATTAATTTTAAGAATTAATTGATACTTTAACAGTTTGTGATCAGGTTTTATCAATACATTGTGGCACAACAGGCCCTTTAAGAGCCTTCAGGATCTGGATTTGGCCCAAAACCAAAATGAGTTTGACACCGGTGATGTAGAGTCTTACAGAGGACAAAGAGTTCAGTGTTTCGTGTGTAATTTGCAGGAGAGGGAGACGTACCGCTGGCCTGTGAAAGAGTCCCTGAAGAGCATGCTGGCGATGAACTGGAACATTGAGAGGACCAAGGAGGGAGAAGCCATGTTCCAGCAGCGAGAGAGTGAAAAACAGAGGAAGCTCTCAGAAACTCAGGTAGCTCCTTCAGATTCTGACGCCATCACATTGCAAAATCTGTTGTCTTTTTTTGTTGTGTTGATTCCCAAAATCTACTGCTCGCGATCCAGCGTTCAACAACTTTCTTATTTACAACTGAGACTATTTAAGTCATTGAGTCTAGTAGAGTTTCTGACTGAAAACTGGTTAGTCTGAAAAAGGAGGATATGCATCTGCTGCCTTACTTGCTTCCTCTCTGTTTAATTTGTGCAGTCTAACGGATTCAGTCCTGCTCCGATGGACCTGCACAATGTCACTTTGTCCCGAGAGTTACAGGTACGTCTCAACTCATGTTGGTTTGCGGGAAAAAGACTCTCCACTGTTCAAGCTTACTTTTTTATTTCCACAGAGTATGGTGGAAGTGGTTGCAGAAAATTACCACAACATCTGGGCTAAGAAGAAGAAGTCAGAACTTCTGAGTAAAGGTGTCGAAATTAAAAAGCTTTGCTAAAAAATAAGCATTTTTTTAAACATAATTTTGAATTAATTGTCTTTGACCGAACAGGAGGAGGGTTGGCTCACCCGCTGCTTGTTCCCTATGATACCCTGACTGCTAAGGAGAAGTACAGAGACAAAGAAAAGGCCCAAGAGCTCTTCAAGTTCCTGCAGATAAGTGGCTATGCTATCACAAGGTGAGCCTCTTTTAAATGGATTATTTTGTTTGTCGGTCTATAATTCCTAAATCTACAACTCAACTTCAATTTGGAGTGATGAAAACATGCAAGATTATGAATGTTTGATTTTCTTGCGTGTGAATTTTGTGGAGTATTGAAGTTATGAGTAAAAACTAATTGGCTGGAGTTGATCTGTCTTTCGGTCTCAGAGGTCTGAAGGACATGGAGCAGGACTCGTCATCCATGGAAAAACGTTTTGCCTACAAGTTCCTAAAGAGGCTGCTGAAGAATATCGACTCTGCTCAGGAGTTTATCGCCCATCTGGGTGAGTCTGCAGCACTAATACTAATATTATCAATCGCTGAGATGTAAAAATTAAAATACTGACTCCACCGTTTACAGAGGCGATGGCCACCAGTGGGAAAACTGACAAGTCCCCACATGACCAGGAGATCAAGTTCTTTGCAAAGGTGTGGTTGAGGATTTGGAATTACTCCACTTGTTTTCAGAAAGTTTTTATTTTTACTGAGGTTTTCTTTTTATTCTCCTCAGGTTTTACTTCCATTGATTGATCAGACATTTAAGAACCACTGCCTTTACTTCCTGTCCACACCCAACAAGAACCTGAGCAGCTGTGGTTGCGCCTCCAACAAGGAGAAGGAGATGGTCACCAGGTATCAAACAAATCAAAGCCTTCTCCTTTAAACTGGTGGAGTGGAGTTGTCTGGCACTTTTATATGTTCCCAAAACCTTTCCTTAAAGGGCATCTATTATGGAAAATTTACTTTTTTAATGTTTTTCATTCTTCCATTTGGGTCGCAACTTATTCTGAAAACAGCAAAGACGTTTTTTTGGCGATAGGTTGATGCTTTTTTTGGTGTCTGGAAAATGAGCCATTTCAAAAACCTCAGAAATGTTGAGTCACAACCGTTACCTAGCAACCACAGCCGAGCCCAGCCCGGTCACCTAGCAACCATAGCTGAGCTCCAGCACATTTAGTCAGCTGGTTGTACTGCTGTATCCGCTGTACAATGACAAGATTTTTAAATTTTTTTTGTTGTTGGTTGTGCAGGAGGCTCCACTTCTGCTTTTCAAAGATGTACGGTCGTATAATTGTACATCTGTTTGCAGCCATTTTGTAAACGTTGAGTTGCGGAGGCGTGGTCAGTAGCAGTTTATTTAGATTTAGGAGCTCAAAATAGGCAGAACGGAGCATACTAAAATCTAAGAATGACTTCATTTAGGTCCTACGATCTGATAGATCACAATAGGTCACTTTTAATTTCTTTCACTTTTCTTTCCTGTCAGCTTTTCTTCAGTTCTGCCTTTATTTCCTCTCCTTTTCCAGCCTGTTCTGTAAGATGGCAGCTCTTGTTAGACACAGGATTTCTCTCTTTGGTAAGGTCGCCTCTGTCTCTGTCTGCAGTTTGACTTTGTTCCAGCAGACGATAGAAACATGTCTTTCTGTTTCAGGAAGTGACTCTGCGATCATGGTGAGCTGTCTTCACATCCTGTCCCACTCACTCGACACGAGGTACACAAACCTCCACGCCGTCTCCACTAACAAAGCTCTGGGAATGTGCCGTCATGTGACTTACGGTTATCAAAACGTCCAACTTTTCCTCAGAACAGTGATGAAATCCGGCGCAGAGCTGGTCAAAGTCGGCTTCAAGGCCTTCTTTGAGAACGCGGCGGAGGACTTGGAGAAGCTGGTGGAGATGCTGAAGCTGGGGAAGTTCATGCAGTCGCGCGCACAGATGAAGAGCGTCACTCAGAGCATCAACTATGTGACCGTGGCCCTGCTGCCCATCCTCACTGCCCTGTTTGAACACACCAGGACGCACGAGTTTGACGTGGACCTGCTCGGTAAGACCAGCAGCTCGAGCTCTGCAAAAACACTTACCAAGTAGTTTTAGCCTAATTTCTAGTGCAAATATCTCAGTTCTACTGGCAGTTTATTCAACTTATAACAGGACATTTTTCCCATGTTATAAATTAATTTGTCTGCCACTAGAACAAGCACTTTTTCATCAATATCAAGGAATTATTTACTTAAAAAAAGCTTATATATCTTGCTACAAAGTTACTTGTAAGTTACTTTGCTTTATTTTAAGTTTGCTAAGACATTTGCACTAGAAACTGGAGCAAAAATACTTGGTAAGATTTTGTGTTTTTGCAGGGCAAGAAATTTTAAGAGCCCACATTCAGCCATTTTTATTTTTTGGCAGAATCATGTTGAACTGTGTTGTATTTATTTTGGATAAAACAGAATGGAGCCAAATTAAACTTATCCATTTCCTGTCAGGATTCTCATCCTGCTTTACTCAGTGATTTATTCATTAATGTTTTATTTCTGTGTTTGTTTGTTAGTGGATGATGTGCAGCTGTCCTGCTACCGAATCCTGATGTGTTTCTACAGCCTGGGAACCGGAAAGAATGTCTTTGTGGAGAGGTGAGAGGTCAAGATCTTTAACGGTGCTGACCTGAAAGTTATTGTTTTGGCTCATTTAAATTTTATTTGCAAGAACTATAGCTATTTTTTCAGTAAGCCAATGATCTAATGCCAACAAGGAGCTCAAATTCAACAGAAATAAAATAAAAAAAATTACAATAAGTCCTACATATTTCATCTTTGTGAAGCTTAAAACAAAAGGGTTCCAGGACATAATCTGTGTTTTGGTGTGTCTACGAGTCCAAGTCAGTTTTTGTTTTAAGCTTTTACATATTTAGAAAATCAGGGAAATGTTCAAATTTAGCTCCGTTTGAACTGAAAACTAGAGAGAAAATGTGAGATTTAATTAATTATTATTAATTATTAATTAATTAATCCTTTAATTAATTATGTGTTCAGAAAGATCCGTGCTTGGTCGAGTTTAGGGAAAAGAGAAACGAATCAGATCTGTCGTGTGTTTTTATTTCTTAGGAGGACACAAACCTTTAGCCACATCATTTTCCAAACCAAAGCCAGTGAGAAATTTCCAGATCTTTTCCCAACTTCTTGAGTTAAAATATCCTTTTTCCTAAACTAAAATACTTTTACTATAAATAATTTTTTTGCTCTGTTCTCAGAATTTGCTTACAAAATATTTACTATTGCAGTTTAGCTTTTATTTGCCATCACAGGAATCTGTAAATCAAACATTAGGTGAGCCTTTCTCTTATCTGTTTATCATATTTCCTGACATGTGATCAGTTGTATGAGTTTATTTGCTGCTTTTCAGGCATCTGCCAGCGATTGGGGAGAGTCTGGCGACCTTGGTGGGAGCGATGCCGGTGGCGTTCCTGGAGCCTGATCTTAACGCCCACAACCCACTTTCAGTTTTCAACACCAAGACGCCCCGAGAGCGAGCCAGTGAGTTTCCAGCCAAGCCTGGGCTCATCTCTGACGCTCGCCGAGGCTGCGGTGCCTTTGTTCGCTCACGGTGATGGATGTTTCTGCGTTTCAGTCCTGAGCATGCCCGACACGGTGGAGGAGATGTGTCCAGAAATGCCTCGCCTCGACAAGCTGCTCAAGGACGTCAATGACGTGTCGGAGTCCGGCGCTCGCTACAGTGACATGCCACAGGTCCGCTTTTCATCTGAACTGCTGCTGCTTTTGAGAAATTATGTAAAAAATTAGGACTATTTTTTTTTTCTTTTTTGATCCAACTGGAACATTTAAAAGAAGATTAGGGCAACTAAAAAATATTTTCTCAGAAATTTGATTTTAATCTTCTGAAATCAAATGTCAGAATTCTGGAGAAACAGTTAAAATTCTGAGAAATAAATTCAGAATTTTGAGATTAAATTCAAAATTCCAAGAAAAAAGTCAGAACTCTGAGATTAATTTCAGAATTCCAAGAAAAAAAAGTCAAAATTCTGAGATAGAAAAATTTGAAGTCTGAGATTAATGTCAAAATTCTGAGATTAAATAAAAAAAAATCTAAGAAATTAAGTCAGAATTCTGAGATTAATTTCAAAATTCCAAGAAAAAAAAAGTTAGAAGTCTTGGACTAAAAAAATGTAATTCTGAGATTAAATTCATAACTCTAAGAAATTATTAATTTAATCATAATTAAATTCATAATTTAATTATGAATTTAATTATGATTAAATCCATAAATTAATTATAATTAAATTATAAATTATAATTAATTTATAATTTATATAATTATAATATATAAATTATATATAGGTTTGTTCTGAGATTAATGTCAGAACAAACCTAAATTGGTATCAAAATATTTGAGATTTCCTTATTTACCAAATTTGCAAGAGTTGTATTTCATATTCGAACCTTTGACCTGGTAATTTCTGAACGTTACACTCTCCCTGTCAGTTTGACCCGACCTTTGTGTCAAAGTGTGACCTCCAGCCGTTTCCTGCAGGTCATTGAGGTCGTCCTCCCCATGCTGTGCAACTACTTGTCCTACTGGTGGGAGAAAGGCCCGGAGAACTCGCCGCCGGACACCGACTGCTGCACCATGGTGACGTCTGAACACCTGAGCATCATTCTGGGAAACATCCTGAAGATCCTCAACAACAACCTGGGCATTGATGACGCTCCCTGGATGAAGAGGATTGCAGGTGAATCACTAAGATTTCACCTTTTAGCTGCACTTAAAATGCCGTTTAACTCCAGTCAAGTTGTGTCATTTCCATAAATCTACATGTAATGGGAGGCATCGGTTAATGCAACAAATTGTCAGCCTATAAGTAATTAAAGCCTAAATATGTTTAGGTGGGTACATTTACAAGACTTTTTAAGCCTGATTGATTAAACAAAAGCAGAAAAATCTGAACAGCCATTTTTGTTTCCTCTCCTAAAACAACGTTACTGCTAAAGAAGCTTATTTTGGGGAAAAAGCCTCTTCTACAGATTCTTCCTGCTTCCAGTTATACTTCTGTGTCTCCCAGTTATAACTCATCATTCTGGTCTCCAGTTTACTCGCAGCCAATCATCTGCAAAGCTGGAGCTGATTTGTTGAGAACCCACTTTCTGCCCACAATGGAGAAACTGAAGAAGAAGACAGTGAAGGTAAGACTCATCTATGCGTTTATCTTTAGTTGCATTGATCACTGCAGCAACGTCTTCACAGATCTATCCAACAAATCAGTCCTCCAGCTTCAGCTGATCCAGATGCTGCTGCTGGTGTTCTGACTAAAACCAGGAAGATGGAGCCCATAACACCAGAGTCCTTCACTGGCTCCCTGTAGCTCAGAGAACAGACTTTAAAATGCTGTTGTTAGTTTATAAATCACTGAACGGGTTAGCACCATGATACATTGAAGATCTACTGCTGCAGGAGAAGCAGTACTCAGCTTTTATGCTCCACAAATCTGGAACAAACTTCCAGAAAACTGTAAAACTGCTGAAACACTGACTTCCTTTAAACCCCCCCTTGTTCACAGTCATATTTGAAATGTAATCAATTATGAATTTAGCGACGTGTTTGTTGTGATGTAAAGCACTTTGAAATGCGTTGCTGCTGAAATCCGCTACACAAATAAAATTTAATTTTGATTTGTGATGCGTTAAAGTGCGATCAGGAATAATCAGATTTCTGTCTGACTGCAGGTTGTGTCTGAGGAGGAGCTGCTGAAGGCCGATGGGAAAGGAGACAACCAGGAAGCAGAGCTGCTCATCCTGGACGAGTTCGCGGTGCTCTGCAGGGACCTCTACGCTTTCTACCCCATGCTCATCCGCTACGTGGACAACAACAGGTGCAGCTGCAGACTTCACCTTTTAATGCTTTTTGAAGCGCAGTTTTGTTTGGAAACATCATAATTCATTTTATTTATCATTTCAGTTGTGTGTGTGTTTTTAATTTCTGTTTTAGTTATTGTTTTTGGTTGTTTTA